TATATATATATATATATATATATATATATTAATGTTTCTTTCAGCTGCTCCCTTCTTCAGGGGTTGCCCCAGCGAGTGAACTCGCATGAAAGATTTGGTAATGTTTTATGCTGGACGCCCCTCCCGGCACAACCTGGGCTCGAACCTGCAACCTCAGGATTACAAGACCACGGCAGAAAAGGTTAAATGCTCTGAAAGTAGACGAGCAGGAGTGATTAACAGTGACATTAGCTGCAGTTATTGTTGCAGCGAGGAAACACCAGATACAGGAAATGCAAGCTCTGAAGACATTTAGATTATTTTGCTAAGTGAGATGACACTGTGTATTAGTTTAAATTATGTTACTTTGATTTTACAAATGAACATGTGATGATGTGCAAGGCAGATAAAAACAAAGATCTGAAGGATTCCCAAACCCTGACATCAGCATGAGGAGGAGAAACTTTATGAGTGGGAGCCACTGAACCTTACTGGTGAGTTGGCAGCTCTTTGACTGTAAAAGTCTTCCTCTTTCTTGTCCTCCTTTATGTTCGGAGATCCCTCTAATGTAGACTGCTGGTGGAGGACGCAGCCTTAAGTTTTACATGCCCAAACATGACCCACTCCTTATGTTCCCTTCATTATCGTAACACTTGCACCACAAACATATGGCACAATAATCTTTGTCAAGGAATCACAAACACTCCGAGGGATGGTTCAGATACGATCGTGTTCACAAACAAGCCAGAAGAGTTTAAAGCTGCTCCGCTAAATCTGACACAAAGGAGCTTCCTGTCACCAGCTTCCTGGTCTGTGGAGCCTCTCTGACATCTTCCTGCATAGATTTGGGAGCAGCTTACGTCCTTTATGTTGTTTTACATTACATTTGAACAACTCAGCTCTCAAGCTCCATGAGCGCTCACCCAAGAGGGATACGTATCAGCTAACACATACCGTATCCTTGTTTTCCGTAGGCAAGGTGGGGAGGGATCTTGACCAGGCTCCTCTCGTTGACACACATCCCCACCAGAGCTTTGTCCATCCCTTCAATCAGCTGCTTCTTGCCAACAAACACATTGTAGGTGCTCCCACGGTCGTAGCTGAAACAAGAACTTATGTTAGAATGACGCCAAACTGCAGAGAATTATTTCATTTAGCCACATCCTAAAGAAACACTCATCTGGGGGCTTGTTTCTACACTGAGCACCTTTTTGTTATTTCTCATCTGGAGAACTTTGGATTAAAACAAAACGCATCATTTCATCTGAGCCTTTCTCTGGGTGAGGTGTCCAAACAATGAGCTCAACTGTGATTTCACTTTCTAAATTTCATTCATTCAAACTTTTAATCTAAAAAAAAAAAAATAAAGATCTTTACTTTTTAAATGTTAGTCTCATTTAATGATAACTCACATTCCGCGTCTCCCTTGTTTAATTGAACACATGCTGGATGCAGCAGCGCAGCTGTCTGCCTGCGTGGCTCACTCTGACCAACCAAAACGCGCACTTTTACGCATCGCGCGCACGCAGCTCCCACAGAGGAACAGCCTCCGTGCGGGGATCCCGAGCTCACCTCGAATCGAACTTCTTGCCGTCCGGGAACGTTCCGATGTAGTGGTACCTGACGAAGTCCCCAACTTTGACGGCGCGCGCGCACTGCTCTGGCACGGAGGTTTTCTCCACGATGATGTCGTCTAACGGGACCGGAGGAGCGTTGCACGCGGCGAACGTCACCAGGAGCGACAGACACAGCATCCCCTGCACGCACGTGATCATTTTCACCGCAGATGAAACTTGTCGTTTTGCTCTTTTTTGGTCAGGGACAATGTCGGTAAAAGGTTTGTTAGAGCGCGCGCTGGCCGCCTGCTCCCACCAGTAACTTTGATTTCCTCTGACTCGGAGGGAGGAACAGAGAAGTCCTGCCCCTGGTCCCGACGTGGAACCGTCAAGTTAGAGACAAAACGCGCCACTTCCGGTTAAAGTTTGATGCCTCTGCACAGTCATGGAAAATAAAAAGGCATCCTTGAGTCAGGGGATTAAAAACGATCAGGTGTTTCTGATCACAGCGTACAAACTATGCATGGTGGTGATGGGCTGATGGTTTGGGCTTGTTTTGCAGTAGTCATTGAGTCAGCCACAGTGTTTTAGAGTTAAATGTCAAGGTCAACGTTTCTTTATTGTCATTCGCATCTAATGCGGTACATGTGGTGGAACGAAATTGTGCACACAGGGTCCCAGTTACATCCAACAAAAGTATAAATTGTAAAAGAAAAGCAGTAATAAGATCTAAGATATAAATGTGAGACCATCTGTCAAGACCATACCATACTATTTTATTTATAAAGCACTTTAAACAGCGACAGGGCCAACCAAAGTGCTGTGCAAACAGAAACAAACAGGCAAAGCACACAGCAACATATAACAGAACGTAAAATCAAAATATAGAAACAAAATAACAGCAGATCGCATTGAAACTTAAGAAATTTAAAGCCATCCAGTCTCTGATGTCAGCCAGACAGTCAAGCAGAGGTTGAATAGAGCGTGCACCATTGTGTCTTAGGGGGAAGTAAATCTGACAGTAGAAGTGAAAGGGTCTATTGTGTTTCCAGAAAATAGCACTATGGCAGCAGTTATAAAGAAAATAGAAGGGACTGAGGATGGACCCCTGCGGTACACCCCATTTAAACACTGCCGATGATTAACTAAAATCTTTGATGGAGACACAAAAAGATCTGTCAGCTAACCCTTCGGTTTATGAACTCGCTGCAAACAGTGGTGTAGTCTACATTTTTGTAGTGGGTATACTGTGCTTAGAAACCAAAGTACACTGGTTAGTACAATGCAATTGTCTAAATTTATTTTGATTTTTAAGCATATTGAACATTTCCAAATTTCTCTGATGCTTGTATTTGAATAAATGAACAACAAACTTTGTACAACAGTTGGCTTTGTGTTAAAAACATGTTATAGAATTTATAAAACAGTATCAAAGCAAAGTGCTGCATACAGACAAATTGTTACGGAAGCGTTTAACTGCTGTTTAACAAATCAATGACACGTGCCTAATGATATGTCATGTGTCATTGGGCACTTTTAAGTGGGTATACTGAAAATCTTAAGCTTTTTTAGTGGGTATACTCCATATACCAGAGTATCACGTAGACTACACCACTGGCTGCAAATGTTTTGCTGTTCCCTCTTCAGGGGTCACCACAGTGAGTCATCCTCCTCCATCTCTGTCCTCTGCATCCTCTGTCCTCACTTCAACTACCTCCATGTCCTCTCTAACTGCATCCATATATCGTCTTTGTCTTTTTTCTGTCAGCTACATTTCTAACATCCTTCTACCAGTATACCCACTGTCCCTCTTCTGGACATGTACAAACCATCCCAGTCTGGCCTCTCTAATCTCCCAGTTGTTCAACCTGTGCTGTACCTCTGATGATCTCATTCCTAATCTTATCCATCCTTGTCACTCCTAAGATACCATACCATACCATACCATACCATACCATACCATACCAATTTATTTATATAGCACTTAAAACAGCAACAAGGCCAACCAAAGTGCTGAAGAAGATGCGGAAGATGAACCTCAGCATCTTCATTTCTGCCACTTCCAGTTCTGTCTCCTGTCTATTTCTCAATGCCACTGTCTCCACAACTGTGAACTCGCTGCAGCCCCATGCTTTTAATTTGAAACCCTTGTCAGTATTTCCTGTGCTTTTGCGGGGGTTTTGTTTATGAGCCCTTGAGCATTGGATGGGATAGTTTGGGCACCACGTATTGCTCCTGCGCAGTGAAGCTTCCAGGAAAGCGTCAACGTGGAAAGTGTAGGGGTCTCCATACACTCAAACACGCACACACACGCACGCATCCTCCAACTTTTAAAAACAAAGTAACCAAATATCTGGCTGCAGCTCTTAATGAGAGCGCATTTGCTGCGACTGTTCGGACTTTTATTTAGGATCTTTCTCACCACTGGTTGGGAATGCTTTGGCCTTTTGGGGGAGGAGGGGGTGCAGACCGAGCAGGAATGTTTCCTACGTGGCAGTGGGGGGAGGGACACTCACCAGGGGGTTAATTAGCAGGTTTGAACGTTCAAACTACACAAGCTCCTTGAATCAGCGCACTTTAATCCCACTGCCAGTGAACGCGTCACGCGTTGTAGCAGTTTGTCTCCTCGCGTGCGTCTTTGAAAGAGCGCAGTCGCTTTCACGGAGTTGTGGAGAGGAGCAGCAGTGATTGAACAGCGCCTCCGGGGGAGGAGCAGCCTTTGTCCGGATACGTGGTGGAAGTTGAGGCGGTCCTCCTTCTCTGCTGGGATCATCTCAGCCAACCCAAACTCCAAAAAAGATGGCACCCTCCACTTCTTCTGGCCTCCTCACCTCCTTTCTGGTGGTGTTCCTCCTCTCGGCGGCGGACTCCCAGTACGAGAAGTACAGCTTCAGGAGTTTCCCGAGACACGAGCTGATGCCCCTGGAGTCCGCCTACAAGTACGCGCTGGACCAGTACACCGGGGAGAAGTGGCAGGACACGGTGGAGTACATGGAGGTGGCGCTGCGCCTCTACCGGCTGCTGCGGGACAGCGAGGCCTTCTGCAACCTCAACTGCAGCTCCGTCCGGCTGGAGGACGAGCAGAGGTTCGCCGAGTTCCCGGAGCTGCGGGCCTTCGGGAACGTGATGAAGAGGGCTCAGTGTCTGAAGCGCTGCAAGCAGGGGCTGCCCGCCTTCAGACAGAGCCTGCCCAGCAGGGACACCATGGACGAGTTCGACCGGAGGGAGCCCTACAGGTACCTGCAGTACGCCTACTTCAAGGTGAGGAGGCTCCTGGTGACCAGAGTTTACACCTGAACACTTTCCATACAGGAAAAAGTTTTACTACTAACGATGGACTCCTGATTTTTATTGCGATTAGTTTGTATGTTTTAATGACGTGCGGTGAGCTTTGTGACAGGTGAGGCACTGACTTGTCTGGAATTGGATGTTCACGTGAACCCAAAATAGAAGCTTATATTTCAATTTAGCCTTTTTTAAAAAAAACTTTTATAAAGGCATCTAATTATGCTTAACTCCATAATGTTTTACAATGATGGCAAGAAAAACAAAATATTTAATGTGGGCAGCACTGCCCCCTAGTGGTGCGGCACGGTACTTTCTGCCTCACCCTGTGTATTTTCTGTTGGTGCGCACCTATTGCAGTTTTTTGGCCAATCACCGATCATCGATTTCTAAAAAGTCTGACCTGCCGATACCGATTTTGTTTTATAAGTGACACTGTCAGGTGTTATAAGGTCACAATGCACCTTCAATTTTCCAATCGTATTTTATTGAAAAGCACATCCTTGAACATTATATTCTAGAAACAATACAAACTTGATTTAACTGTCCATGAGGTAGTGCTTTGAAATATAAATGAAGTTCAGACAATTGTGTTACAACAACAAAAAAAAAAATCGGTAAAATTGGTTTCTCATGCAAGTATCAACCGATTTCCTAAAATTAAGGAAATCGGGGTTTATTGGACGACCGATTTATTGGTGCACCCCTAATTTTCAGTGCGCATTATGGCCAATTAAAGAAGAAATATGTCTCACACATTCATTCAAGATATTAGACAGACTGTAGAACATCAGCATGTATAGCACATGTGTAATCAAACATGTATATTGGCGATAAAGAAAGACGGCAATGGGCATGCTCCAACCATCTACTTCGGGGGGGTGGGGGGTGGGGTGAGATGGTGCAGGGGCAGTGCAGCTGACTCGGGACCCGAATGCCCTGGGTTCGATCGCCAGTCATTGCACACCCTTTGGAGTCTCTGAGCAGGACACCCTATCCCCAGTTGCTCCCTGGGCACCCCCAATAGCTGCCCACCGCTCCACCTAGTGGTGGATGGGTTAAATGCAGAGAGCCAATTTTGCCCTTGTATGGGAACATACAATGATGACAACACATATACAATATTGTTATTATTCATATATTGTATATGACACAGCGCCCCCGGAGGTGAGCCAGAGCACTACACGGCCTCACCCAGAACATTTCTTCCATGTTTGAACAGGCAATTAGTAAATTCTGCAATTTTGACCATTGAAGTTTTGAAATAATTCAGAAAACAATTTTTTTAAAACAGTTTTATAAATCTGTGTTACAGAACAGTCAAATGTATTTTCTCGTCATTGTTAGTATTTGACAGGTGAGGCACTGCCTCCCCTGACTGCACAGCACTGTTAATTACTGCATATCTTATGCTACTTTAGCCTTCACAGAGCAAAATATTCAGTTCATTCAGTAGATGGGAACTTTTTGTTTTTTTTTATAACTAATATTTTTCTAAATATCTACCTTTAGAAATATCCATCAAGGTTAAGTCAGGTCCTCTGGACGGTTTCTTTGTGTTGAATCATTTCGTCTTTCATCTAAAAGACCTCATCAGTCCGAGGAGTCACAACAAACTCAGTCTTATAAGTAGCACCTTCACATAGTGGACCAACCAGTTTGATGGTGATAAGGTAGTTTCTGGAGTCCACCCTCTTCCCCTTCGACTCGTCTGAGACAGCCATGGCCAAAATGGTTCAAAACGTCAAAGTTCATGCTCAGTAGTCCAGGTAATAAATCCAACAAAGTTAAGTCGGGTCCTCTGGACGGTTTCTTGGATGTTTTGAACCACTTTGGTCATGGTTGTCTCAGAGGAGTCGACAGGGGAGAGGGTGGACTCCAGATATCACCATCAAACTGGTTGGCCCACTATGTGATCGTGCTATTTATGGGACTGAGTTTGTTGTGGCTCCTCGGGCTGATGAAGTCTTTTGGCTGAAAGATTAAACGTTTCAACACAAACGAGACGTCCAGAGGACCTGATTTAACTGTTGGATTTATCACCTGGATTATTGAGCATGAACTTTGACCTTTCCCCATAGAGACGCAATAAGAACTCATTAATTCCTTCAAATCTTCATTGCATTTTGTGTCTTTTTATGCTACTTTTACCTGCTAATCTGCTAGTTTTAGCTTTTAAACACTTAGCTACTTTTAGCTAGCCTTTTTGCTACTTTTCCACCTTTAACTGACCTTTTACTACCTGTAGGAGCCTAAACTAAATTTTGTAAAGATTATATGCATAACTGAAGCAATTTGTTTTATGTGTAGATCTTTGTTGGTTTGAGGTTGTAACATGTTTATTGAAGTCATGTGATGTGGGTGGGGCATGTCAGTTCAGTTCAATTCAGTTTATTTATGTAGCGCCAAATCACAACAAAGTTGTCTCAGGACACTTTACAGAAACATTCACATACATAAAAGCCAATTAGTAAAGTTCTCTATCTAAGGAATCCGGCAGACAAGTTGAATCTTGGCTTCGTTGCAGTCTCCCATCCTGAGCAAGCACAGTGGCAACAGTGGAAAGGAAAAACTCCCTTTTAAAGGAAGAAACCTCCAGCAGAACCAGTCTCAGGACAAGTGGCCGTCTGCTTTGACCGGCTGGTTGAGAGGACAGGAAGGAGAGACAGACGAACACAGAATGGTAGGTTCAGATGTAGGTGCAGGTGTACCTGAAAGACAAAAAAAACACATGTTAAGGATAGAAAAAATAATTACAAATTCAAAACAGGTTGAGCAGAGTAAGTAAAGACAGTAGCAGAGAGAGTCAGGAGAGAAAGTCCAGACAGACTAGTTGGGGAGTGAAGCCAAACAGTTTTTTGACCTCCCTAGCTCTTTTTCTGTTTAATAACCAACTCGTGGATAAGTTGTTTTTGTTTACTTTTTTGCTGTACGTGTTTCATTTTTAAGTAAAACTTTTAAACACAAGCCACTGACAATAATTATTTTTTCTGGACAAGAATTATGCCGGAGGCCATGGGAGCGTCAGGCTCAGGTTTCACTCAATAAGGATTTACACTACCTGTAGCTTTTAGCTAGCATTTTCATGCTTTAGCTGAAAGTAAGACGTTTGCTGCATTAGCTGTAAGTAAGCTTTTTGCTACATTTAGCTTTTAGTTAGTCCATTTCTCTAAACTGACGTAATTCAAAGAGCTATCTACAGCAGGTAAGATACTGTTTGAACTCAATCGTATTACAAAACCCCACCTCAAATATCCAATCACCATAAGAGCATGCATGGAGAGTTGTCTTAAAATTAAGCTTTTTTTGTTTTACCCCAAACCGAACAAGCCGTCTGTTTTAGACCCTTGTAAGTATTTTCTGTGCTGTTTAGAGCTTCAGCTTTCTCTGCATTTTATTGTTTTAGTCGAGAACAAAACGTAAACATCTTCTCCGTCAATGTCTTTATTTGTCGTGTGTCTCAGTCCAACAACGTGGCCAAGGCGGTGTCTGCTGCTCACACCTTCCTGCTGAAACATCCAGATGATGAGATGATGCAGAAGAACATGGCCTACTACAAGAGTCTGCCTGGAGCAGAAGAACACCTCAAGGACCTGGAGACCAAATCCTACGAGGTACAGTCACAAACACTCACGTAAAAATGAGTGTCGGTAATACCACAAAATATACAGCTCTACATTTATTTTTTTATTTTTTTGAAATAAAAACAGCATAAAATAAGCATTTTCTAATACACAAGTTTAAAAGCTACAGCTGCCGTATAGTAAAATAATCTGAACATAATTTTTAGCACGTGGTCTCAGTTTGACGTAGCTCCCTAAAATGTTTTACTGCAAAGAAAACACATTATTATTCCTGCAGGTTTTCTTTTTATTTCTCACAATCGAAACAACTTTTTTGATCGTCTAAATGTAAAGTTTAGCAAGTCACCAACAATTTAAAAGTTCACCTTTTTTAAAAAGACATTTCCACCACAAAACGGTGGGGATGCTTCCAGCATGTATAGACATTTAAAGAGTACCTTAAAGATGAGTTCATCCAAACTGTTACTCTTTAATTGTAGCTTAAATTTCTTTGCAGGAGAGGCACAGACAAAAGCTCAAACTTCACCGGGTTGTGACTGTTGGGCCATAAATTGCGAACTAATATGACTAATTTCATAATCTATTGTCCAGATCAGCAAATCTTCTGGCATGAGTCGTTCTTTGACCTCGTTCTTGTGTCACGGGAACTTTGAAGATGTTCGCAAATATTTACAAAGTGAGTTTCTTCTCAAACTAATCAGTCACCGTGATCAAGTTGGTTGTCTATGAAACCAGCACAGTTCTCATGCAAACATGTTGTAAGTACCAGTTCAAGTCAAGTGGGAAGCTGAACACTTGCTCACAATTTTGTGTCTCCATTAGTTGTGGCTTGGGATGCACAATATTGGATTTTTGGTCAATATACAATATGCCAATATGTTAAAACGATAACCGATACCAATACCAATATTGTTTTCCCTAGACCTACTTACAGAGACTGCTTAGCTTTCTCTACTGTAGAATTAAAATACATTAACAGTTTGTTAAACTAAAAATTAAAACGGAAGCCTTTTATATCGGTGAGTTATTATGATGGATTTTTTTTTTCATTTACCTTTATTTATCCAGGGAGTCTCATTGAGCCACAAGAACTCATTTTCAAGAGAGACCTGTTTAGGGAACAGATGGGGGTTAAGGGCTTTGCTCATGGGCCCAGGGTGGGGCAAATGAGGGTGGGGGCAGGTGTGGGTGCTTCACCTATCCCACCCACATTTTTTAGGTTGTCGGTATCGGGGCTTGAACTGGCGATCTTCCAATCACAGGCCCACCTTCTCTAACCTCTGCACCACCACTCCCCCTATAAGAATGACCATCCATCCATCCATTATCTTTACCCGCTTATTCCATTTTGGGTCACGGGGGTCGCTGGTGCCCATGTCCAGCAATCACTGTGCGAGGGGCGGGGTACACCCTGGACGGGTCGCAAGTCCATCACAGGGCCACATAGAGACAAACGAGACAAACAACCATTCACTCTCTCACTCACACCTAGGGATAATTTAGAGTTACCAATCAGCCTAACATGCATGTTTTTGGTCTGTGGGAGGAAACCGGAGCACCCGGAGAAAACCCACGCATGCACGGAGAGAACATGCAAACTCCACCCAGAAAGGCCCCTGGACCGGGGTTTGAACCAGGGACCTGCTCGCTGAGAGGCAGCAGCTCTACCAGTTGCGCCACCGTGCTGCCATATAAGAATGACCAATGCCCGATATTAAACTTTATCGCCAATATCGGCCGATACCGTGCCGATAATATCGTGCATTTGTTGTGGCACTGTGTAAACTGTATTATATGGTATATCTTTGTACTGAAGTGTCAATCCATCTAATCAGAACTATAAAAACAGAAGAAGATGGTCTTCAGCTTGGATGGTTTCTGATCTTTTAAGACATTTTTGGTTTTGTCACATCCATATTCGCAATTCTTTGTAAGCACAAACATGGATGACCCTATATTTGGCTTTGTGGGTGTGCTGATGTGCTAGCAGCTTGTGGTTTGCAGGCCAAATGGACCTATCTGGTATTGAGAGGTTTCCACTGCTGGTCAGGTTGCACTGATCAAACTATGTGGAGATAGAGGTGGAAGCTGGACTCCCACTTACATTTCTCTACATTTTTACAGCCCTAAAGTCAGGAAGTCCTAAGTGCTTGTAGAAGAGGTGGCTTGATATCTTTTGTTGCTTCTTGAGCACGTTTCAGTCAAAATACGTCTTCATTTCTGTACATCACCAACCTTGAAGTTCTCTTAGAATCTTTGGAACGCTCCCATAAACCCCAGAGTTTAATACTGGTTGTGTTTTCATCATGTGGCGTTTCAGACCTTGTTTGTGCGTGCAGTGAGGGCGTATAATGGCGACAACTTCCGTACCTCGGTGTCCGACATGGAGCTGGCTCTGAGGGACTACTTCAAGGTCTACGACGAGTGCCTGGCTGCCTCCGAGGGCCCGAGGAGCGTCAGCGACTTTAAAGACTTCTACCCCTCTATAGCTGGTGTGTTTGATGTTCATAACCCTGACACTTTTAAAGAGTTTGTCCTTAACTGACATCTTCTTTGTTTCTTTGTCATTTTTAGATCACTACATAGAAGTCCTCGACAGAAAGGTGCGATGTGAAAGTGACCTGACGCCTGAAGTCGGGGGGTTTGTTGTAGAGAAGTTTGTGGCCACCATGTACCACTACCTGCAGTTCGCCTATTACAAATGTGAGTCGAACAAGTATCCAGGGTGAACAGCGTTTCTGTGTTGTCAGTGGAAAATCTCAGGATTCAGCTGCCATCATTGTGTTTTTAGTGAACGACCTGAAGAACGCAGTGCCGTGTGCAGCGAGCTACATGCTGTTTGACCCCAGCGATGAAGTCATGAAGAACAACGTCGCCTATTACAAATATCACAAAACGCAGTGGGGCTTGACAGAAGAGGACTTCTTCCCCAGATCAGTAAGTTCGGATGCATTCTGGTTTTGACTGTAGGGGTCCTCTGTGGGTCCTCTGTAAAGACCATGAACAAACACCATCTTACCTGTTGTAGATAGCTCTTTGAACGGCCTCAGTTTGAAGAAAGAGTTTAATTTTGATCAGATCCATGTAGAGTTATCTAGTCTGAGCTGGGCCAAGACCAAAACTGAATTTAAGTTTAAAATATTGCCCCTAGATTTAGTAGAATTAATTTAAAGATTTTTATTTTATTTTTTTACTTAAGTTTGTTTTCTGTTCATTTGAAAGTAGAAAATGTGGGGTTTTATGTCACTTTCGCAAAGAAAAAGTTATGGGTGTGTTTTTAAAGATTGTCTTCCATCCATCATCCATCTGCACGGCAGCACGATGGCTCAGTGGTTAGCGCTGTTGCCTCACAGCAAGAAGGTCCTGGGTTCAGTCCTCTGTTGGACCTGGGGTCTTTCTGTGTGGAGTTTGCATGTTCTTCTTGTGCTTGCGTGGGTTTTCTCTGTTTCCTCCTGTTTCCTCCCACTGAATAAAAACATGCATGCTAGGCTTCCTTCAGGTCCAGGCCTCCCTTGCAAAAGAGATCTGTGATCTCAATGGGATTTGCCTGCTTAAAAAAAAAAGGTTGATAATAATAAGAAAATAAAAATCTATCCATTATGTTTACCCACTTTTTCCTTTACGGGTCACGGGGGTCACTGGTGCCCACATCCAATAGTCACTGGGCGAGAGTCGGGGACACCCTGGACAGGTCTCCAGTCCATCACAGGGCCACATAGAGACAAACGAGACAAACAACCTTTCACTCTCTCACTCACACCTAGAGACAATTTAGAGTTACCAATCAGCCTAACATGCATGTTTTTGGTCTGTGGGAGGAAACTGGAGTACACGGAGAAAACCCACACATGCACGGAGAGAACATGCAAACTCCACCCAGAAAGGTCTCCAACCGGGATTTGATCCAGCGACCTGCTCGCTGAGCGGCAGCAACTCTTAGCCACCAAGCTGCTCAAGATGGTCTCATAAAATCTGTGTGTGTGTGTGTTACAGGAGGCAGTGCGGTACCACAATCAGACCACCTTGCAGCTACAGATGTTGGAGTTCTCTAATCAACGCCTTGTGAGCGATGATGAGGTCCGTAACTGTCCTTTATTGTTCAGATCAAGAAAACACCTTTTAGCCAGGAGGTCACATTAAAAAGACTGTAGGAAATAAGAAAATAGACATGTTTAGTTTGTATAAAACCTCTTACTGCTTGGATTGGGTCGAGTCACGTCCTGCAGCACAACGTGCCCCGTGTTCCTCAGACTGTAATATCATCAACGGGCATGTGATGGCAGTCTGACTCTGCAGTTGCTGCAGGTTATTTTGACGCAGCACCATCGGGCCAAATCACCATAAGCTAGGATTACATGTTGTTTGTGCTAAATGGAATTCAGGTCCCGACTTTAATCCCTTTAGTAATGCAGGATATAAAAAAAATCACTGATAAAAATGTCAGTGGGGCGATTTATGGTAATCCGCTTTGATACAAAACAGACTTTCCTGATTTATATATTATTTTTTTTATATATGTGTGTGTTTGTTTTCACAGGGGGAGGTGGTGGAGTTTATAGATGAGTTCCTGGACGGCGATAATTAAGAAGACACTGAAACACAAAGTACAAAAATGCTCCAAAGTTATTTATTAGGATTTTTAAAAGACTTAAAAAATTTTTTACCTGCAGCTTTCGATCATGAATTGTTTCTAATTTGCCATTTCGTGTAGTTTGGTGGTCTGAACTGACAACACGACCGCCCAGTCACTTAAAGACAATAATCAGGACAGATGTGTGCTTTCTCACTGGTTTGTCAACACATTCCTCCACTGTGAATCGTTAATGTCGAGACATTTTTACAATAAAACGGTTTAAGAAAAATCTAATCCTTGATGGGTTTTGAAAATGTTGCTATAAATTGTCAACTGTTTGATTTAAAAGTAAAGTCTGAGGATTTTTAAAGAGATGTTCAAATGTGTGACATGTCAAATACTATTTACCGTAAGTACTATCAATAGTCATTTGCAGAAAATGTAGTGTAGAAAAAAATAATTGATTGGCCTTTAGCTTATAGGCTAGCCATTAGCTTAAAGCGGACAAAGACTTTTGCACTTTTCTGTATTCTTCATGTTCTATGATTGATGACATGGCTCGTAAACTATTTGACAGAACATCACTTCAGAAATGACCAGACTATCCCTTTAAGCACAGTTTTGAAAGAAAAAATAGGATATGACTGTTTTTTCCCCACACACTGTTTGGAAAACTGTTTTAATTAACTACGTCTCTGTTCTAGTTCAGATTTTATTTTATTTTTAATTATAGTCTTAGTAAAGACAAAAATCCCTGAGACAGAAGTGGAGAACGTGATGTAGGGCTGAGTGGACATTCGGGGAAATATTGTTTGAACGTCGAGAGTGTGTGCAGTTTGTCACACAGTGGCGTTAGAAACCCACAGGAGAGCGTTCTACCTCTTGTTTTTTTGTTTTTACGTGTTGCTTCATTCAGCTTTCAGCACTTTCATTATTTTAAAAGATTTTCAAACCCTGCCAATAAGAGACTAATAATCCCATCATGGTTACATGAATGAAAGGTTAACTAATCAAGATGTTGATGTGTAACATGAGTTGAGATCTGTACTGGACCCTGACTGCAGTAAAGTGAAATTACAAAAATCAGGTTTTATATGTTTATTAGTACTTAGAAAACACGTGAAGGGTACACATTTAGTTCTACTGACAAACACTTCAACCTGATTGAAATAAAAATTACAAGTAAAGCCCACTTTTTTTGTCTTCAGCAAATACTTTCTGTATGTACACAAAAGGCCGTTTTCTCTGTGACTGTGAGAGTTTTATCAGCACAATGCCACAGGCGTATGTTGTGGACAGGTGCAGTTTATCGGTGGCATTTTGAATGTAAAGAGATACCGTGACGAGATCCTGAGGCCCATTGTTGTGCCATTCATCCACAACCGTCCCCTCACTTCACTAATTTCTGCTTCCTAAAAACTTACATCTGTGGCATTGTGTTGTGAGATAAAACTGCATATTTTAGAGTGGCCTTTTATTGTGGTCATCCTAAGGCACACCTGTGGAATCATGCCGTCTAATCAGCATCTCGACGTGCCACACCTGTGAGGTGGATGGATTATCTCAGCAAAGGGGAAGTGCTCACTAACACAGTTTTACCGAATTTTTCGAAGTATAAGGTGCACTTAAAATCCTTTAATTTTCTCAAAAATCGACAGTGAGCCTTATAACCAGGTGCACCTTATAAATTCTGGGTGTACTTGCTGACCTTGAACCGATTTTATGTGGTTATTGTGGTTTTATGGATGTTTACTAATGAGAAGTGTTCGAAGCTTGTGAACTCATGATGTTAATTTAATAAAAAAGTGCTTTTTCATGTGTTGAAGAGTTGTGGTTTTGAAGATACAAGGTTCCTGCACAACAGCAATATTCTACAAGTTGTTCAACAGATGCACCAAGAAAAAAAACAACTGGAAAAAAATTTCATTGTCAAAGTATTTTATAGGCCAGGATGTATCTTTATAACAGACGTGGGCAATGTACTGTCGGAGGGCCAAAAGTGGCCTTTGGACAGTTTACACCTGACCCCCCAGTATTGCTAATTGAATAGAAAACAACTTTTAAATTGTTTGATGGAAACCTGCATTATACAAATTAAATTTAAGGAAGGAATTAAGCATCTTAAGAAAATGCAATGAAAACATTTGGATTAAGATGGACTAAAACTTTGTCTTAAGCCATCTTTGCAGAAATAGACTGAATCTTAAAGACTCCAAAAAGCATATATAATTTTTATTATTGCATATTTACGCTAACAAATCTGTTTTCTAAGTTTCATATCTGCTTACCGGTCAATTCAATTCAAAAGCCTTTATTAATTCCAAAGAGAAATTAAATGTTGTTGTAGCTCATCATCCTGGTTTCATTAAGAGATGTTATAGATGCTGATGGATGTGGGCAGGAAAGATCTCCCGAAGTACTCCATCCTGCAGTGGATCTGAAGAAACTGATTACAGATACCGATCCGTCCACGGACCCAGCGGGCCTCTCAGTCCTCCTGGGCAGCAGGACCACCTGAATGTTGGGCAGAACTCCTGAGCGATGGCCACTCCTCTCAGCAGGTTGTTGAGCTCCTCATCATTGCAGACAGCCAACTGCAGGTGTCGGGATGATCCTGGCCTTGTCATGAGCCACATTTTCTGCCATCTCCAAGGATCTCAGTCACTCGAGCACCTCCGCCAGGTAGATGTAGATGCATCCATGGTGCCTCCTTTACAACTCACTTGGGATTTAGGGCTGTATTTGAGGTAATATTTGAGCTTTGAGATGTTAATCAGCTGCTCCCAGTTGTTAAAACCACCTTGTTGTCATGGTTACGCATCATAACAAATGTCCAAAAGTAAAAAGGTTTTAGTAAAAATCCTTCCAGCTGTACAGCATCTAATACCAGTAGAAGTAATCATCCAAAAAAAATCCATTTACATCCAGATAAAAAGAGGAAATAAAGTTTTCTATAGCAACATCCCAGAATGAAAGTAACAGCTACTCCACATGCAGCCACCTTGAGCGTCGCCATTCCAAAACAATTGGTCAACAATTGGTCAACAATTGGCCAACAATTGGTCAACAATTGGCCAACAATTGGCCAACAATTGGTCAAAAATTGGCCAACAATTGGCCAACAATTGGTCAACAATTGGTCAACTGGCCAAGTGAAAAATCAGCCGACTCTGGTCCCTTTAAATGAGTCCTCGAGGCTCAGTGGGACTAACCTGTCTAAATAAAGGCTGAATGAAATTTTATCATTGAGCGTTATAATATTTAGACCAGAAACCTGGACTACAATCAACAGAGTGAACTTTATTTCATATACTGAGTACATCACTTTGAACACAGTATTTCATATCAGGTGAAGTAAAATGTAGGTTGTACTTTTCTAAAACAGAAAAAAACGCAGCTGATGTCAAATACGATTGATGAATTGGGAGCAAATGGGCTGACGTCCCACCAGTAAAGCTACAGCGTGCAGTATGGTAATGCAGTCACAGGTCATGTCACCACTGAGTTCATTCAGTTTCAGATAAGAGCAAAGAGTAAAAAATCTTAAATATTTCTAGCTGTGTGACTCATATCAAGTTGACCAACAGATTCTGCCAGATCCAACAAATTACACCCACATTTGAAATAAGTAATTTACAAGAAAAATGTAAAGCAAAACACTGGATTGTGAATTTAAAACATAAAAAAAATAAGCAATGATGACAGTAAATTTGTATTTTCAAATAAACGCAAACTATTTACAATAATTATTTCTACATTTTTATTAAGTCAAATTCTTAAACTTTCCACTAACTAGCATAATAGGCTATATCAAGATTTAAACTTTTCTTGTCAACTGCAATCAAACAGCGTAAATATATTTAAAAGTAAACAGAATAGTTTCTAACCAATAAGTTTTCTCAATTTTTACTGATTAAAAAAAAAAATCACACGACTACTCAGATCTAAAAGCCTTGAGAGAAAGTTGGATCTAAATAGTTTCTGTCTTTTGTTCATGAATAAAGTGTTTTGTCTCACTTGTGTTACAGGATTACTCATTTAATGACTAATATATGACCAAAACACTCCATCGCTTTCACAGCAAGACTTTCAGTTCCTGCTCATCATCTAAATAGAGTGACATGGAAGCGCACGCAAAGAAAATATCAACTCGTTCAGAATAACGTAACTAGCATTCCTTTAAGGAATGCATGTCACCCGCCACCTTGCCTGCCAGAGATTAACATTTCCAGCAATTTGTTAGAGCTCACATGTATTGGAGAGGACTCTCAGCTACTACACCAGATTTGAGCTCATTATCTGTCAAAATGACCGACTCAGGGCCATTTTGCGGTTGCTAAGATTAATTAGCTCTGGCGTCCATCTTGACTTTGGTTGACTCGAAACATTAATCAGTTCTAGATGTCCATCCACTGATTACTTTCAAAGAATTTCATCAAAACCCATCCAGCGGTTCATTAGATATTTTGCTAACAGACAGAAAAATTAACACACATGCATGCAAGCATGGGCAAGTACATGATCACCCACCCTTTATGGCCCCAGCAGTTATAAAACAAATGAATAATGTATGACTTTTAGGAAACAAAGGTGACATTAGAGCAGCAGGGGTAGCATTCATTTGTAATGTGCACAACTTTCTGAGATAATGGAAATAGTATTTCACTTGTCACTGCACACACCAGGTGGAACTTAAGAAGAAAGCTGCAAAACAAGTTAAAATAATCAATGATGTGAGATGTTACAAACTAAAAAGTTGTTTTTGAAAGTATTGTGTGCTGTGCTCACTCTTGCGACCCCAGCTTGAACACCCTTATTGGAAAACGTTGTATTCATGCAAGTGTTGAGTTCCAGTCAAACAGAGCTAATAAATATCTCATATTTATGTGCAAAATCAAACATTTTGCACATAAATGTTTTCAAGTTATTGACTGGTGTATCCTTTTGTGGTAGAAGGATTATGAGCTGTTCAGTGAGGTGAAAAACATTCAGTTGCTTCGTAAAGATCATCCAGGTCATCGTGAGCCTTGAACCTTCACCATAAGATCAGCAAATACAACTTAATGCTGACTTGTCCTGGAAATTTTAAAACATCATGATAATGTTAAATTGGAAGTGTTTTTTGCAGCTCATATAATCAAACTTTAAGCATCACATTTATTACCATTTGTAAAAATAGACCAATACAAATCAGGGCTTGTACAGCCCTGATTTTGATATATAGTGTTACAATGTGTGCTCTAAAAACATTGTGATTGAACTATTATGTATAAGCAAGTCACAAATCTTATTTTAGGGTAAAGCTAAAACATTTGAGGTTGTGATCCTTTGTTGCATTATCACCACAATGTTTAACCTCTGTCGAGTTGGAGTTCCAGTCTGGTTCCTTTATCACAAACTTTATAGACATTTTACACAAATATGACACACACACCCTTATGTTTGTCCCATCTGTATGTTTGTGTGAATCTGAACGACTCTATTACTCACCAAGCAAATGGCAAAATACACAGAAAGGGTACATAAAGGTCATCATCTACCCATCAACACAGACGACTTTCTTTTTATTCAGCTCTGAAAGTCAACCCTAAGCAAAAACAACAAAAGCAATGCTACACTAAGGTTCTTTACCACAATGTCCAAGAACCTTCAAAGTTTAAATTTCAGTTCATATATTCAGGCATACCTTGTGTTGTTGTTTTTCAAAATATGTCATTTTTAGTTTCCCCAATTGAGGCACTGCTCATTTACGAGTCCATTTAGATGAAAACCTTTAAAACTAATGGATAACTATGACAAACAGTGATGGATTTATGCAAAAATGGGGTTTGTGGGGGGATTTATCATCATCTTTCGTTTGAGTTCCATCAACCAGTCTTTGTGTATTGCAATAACTTTAACTCCGCCATGGTTTGCTCGTTGAATCAGAGCAGAAGAAAGTTGTTGGTTCCTAAGTGTTCCTAGTTTCTAACAAAATGTGACGATGTGTATTCCTGCTAAACTCAACCAAATTTTACAATCTGTCCTAAAAGTCTCATGAACACTGTCCTCGTCACAAGCTTCTACACTTTTTGCTGCATCTCCATTTGTTGGCCCTGGCTGGTTGGACTTTGGCCTTTCTCATTCATCTCATATACTGAACTCTTCTGCTGCTGCCGTTTGTAACACCACACCCCGAAGATGACTGCCATGGCGACGACGCACACCAACACAGCTATGGCTGCCACTGTGGGACCTCGACTGGATGAGCTTGGAGGGTGGGGAGGACAGTTGTCATCGATGCAGATTGTCTCCCCCATCTCTCCTTCCATCTCCCCCATCTCACCGGGCAGGTTGTGCACATTGCGTTCCCCAATCACACCAGTGAAGATGTCGCCGTCGTGCACAGGAGGAGCAAGGCCATGATCGAGGAAGGGGTGCTCAGTAAGTTCGTCCAACCAGGAGTGGGTGGGAGCCGCCTGTTGAGTGTCATAGTCCAGGGTGTCTGAGTACGACGGGGAGTCTGAAGGTTGTAAATGGTCTGGGGAGGTACCAGGGGTCCTGAAGCCAGGCCTTACTTTCTCTACCACCCCTTGGTCCAGTTCAGGTGCTCTAGTAGGAGACTCACGCTTGCCTGGAGAGTTGGTGTGGGGAATCCGTCTACGTACGTCCACATCGTTGGGTCTGTCTGTTGTCTCGACAGCACGTTCACCATCCACTGGCTTTATTGGTTTTTTCATGGACTCACCATTTTCTGTTCCTTGTACAGGGTATCCATCCAACCAGGTCTCGTCTTTGGTGGTTTTGCTTCCTGCTCCCCTTTGAGTGATGTTTGGTCGTCTTTCTGTGGCTACTGAAAAGATGACTCGTGAGTGACCATCGTCATCATCATCGTCTTCATGGCTGTCATGGTTCTCATGGCTCTTGTCGTATTTGTCTTCATGATCGTCGTGGATATCATGATCTGGTAAGTGGTCATCATCATCATCATCATCGCCGTCATCATGAATACGATCTCGATCATCAAGATCATCATGATCTGGATGTTCCTCAGAGCCATCCGGGTGTTCATTATCATCATCACTATGATCATCGGTCGTATCATCGTGATCCTCATGGCTGTGCTGTTCATCGTATAGATCGTCTTGATTACCATACTCCTGAGGTCCGTAGTGAATATGATCATGGTCCTTTTCGTGTTTGTCATCATCGTCATTGTGATTGTCATAGTCTTTGTTACGGTCTCGTCTATCCTCGTGCTCACCTCGGTGCGTCACATGATCATCTTCTTCTTGGTGACTATCAGGGTCATCTGGATCATCAGTGAGGTCATCTTCATGGTCGTCATGGTCGTCATGGTCATCACGGTCATTGTGGTCATCATGGCGGCTGTCATCATGATCGCTTCCATCATCATTGTCCAAATTATCATATCTGTCTTGCTCATCGTCGTGATCATCAACATCAGTAGGATGTGAGATGTTATGCCTCTCCTGGCTCTCGTTTTCGTTGCTCTCCTGAGATTGGGCACCAGAAGCTCTCTGTTTCGTCTGCGTAACGGAGCCAGGCGATAAGGGAAGCTTCTCATCCTGGAAGGCCTCAGAGGGAAACCAGAACAGGTGTTTTTGAGAGAGAAGAGAAACAGGTTCTTCTGTAGCTTCATCTGCATCCGTCCTGATAACCTCGCTCCTCTCCTGTTCCCACCTTGGATGGACCTGCTCCTCATTTTTGTCTGATTGTCCTTCAAACGCTCTTCTGTTGTTGATCACTGTTGCTCCCATGTCATGCTCTTTTTGTTGGCCTTGCTCGTCGCCTACGTTGAGCCTGAATCTTGTCATTTGCTGCTGCAAACTTATCTCCCCATCTTGGGATGCACCTCCAAATACCTCCTCAGACACTTTGTCGTGATGCTCCTCTTGACTGTCTCTGTCATGATGTGCTTCTTCAGGGGAATCTTCGAACTTGTCCTCATAGTCTACATGACTTTCTGTTTTATCTGAAAACAGGCAGAAGAAAGATATTAATAAATCAAAAGCTACATAAATTAAATGTTGACGACTTTTAGATTCTGACAGTAAGGAAGTAAGAATGAGGCAAAACGTTTTAAACTTAGAAACTGTTTTTTATACATCTCAATACACTGACTTACAATGAATTGTGTCATATTTCAGGATGGAAATATGATAATGAGTTTTCTTGCCAAAGGACGCACTAAAACATAAACCTTCCTCTGTCTAAAGCTTGTTTTATGTATTTATTTATTTATTGCACAGATTATTGAATTTAAAGTGGATTTTGGAATTGCTGCTGGTTTAATTTAACTGTCTTGGGAACCATAAAAACCAACACTTAGATCATCTACTTTTGGCTATGGTTCCATTGTAAATAAAGATCTAGTTTAAATTGTGTTTTGAGTGATAAAATATGAATTTTCATGCATTAAATGGCTTTTTTTGTAGCATAAAATGGCTCAGATCTGACAAATACACTGTAAATTCACTATACTCACATCCCAGCGGTGGAAATGTTCTGATTGCTCAATAAATTATGTTAACAGAAATAACTCATAAATCCTCTCTCTTAATGTGATACAGAAACGTTGACTAAATCGCCTTACAGCTGTTAAAACAGTTTGGCCTCACTTTAGATAAACTATTTCTTCCAGGCTGACTGCTTTCACAGTTCAACCAAAATGTTAAAAATTTAAGAATAAAAACATCTACTAAAGAATATCGCTGGAGTGTGTCGCATACATCCATTTGTGATCATTTTAGATAAACAATAAAAAAGATTGCACGTCCACACTGGATAAGCCTTAAAAAGCAATGCACTGCTTTTAGTATCCACAAAAAAAAGGACAAACCAATAAAATATGAATTTCTTAAGCCCAAATTTATCAAGAATGGAGCTAAAATAAAATATCAACAAGGAGGAATTGAAAAATTCTGCAACATCTGTAAAACTTGCAACAGAATAGGGTAGTATTAGCATACTAAAATTAATAAACACACATTGATCAATGTAATTCTAACTTTGTGAAAGAGCACAATTTAAATGTTCGTATATGTAATGCCTTGCATCAAAAGTATGTGTCCTAAATTGCTGTTTTTATGATATACATAATTTACATAGAGGATGTAGCTTCTTGTACTATGTGAAATTCAGTAAAATGTAGAATAATTAAACATTTAATTGTGACGCATGTTGATGAATTTCTCTATGTTTGAATGCATCAAACTGTCAACATCAGACAAAAATGGTAAATAAATCTGAATTATTGTAAGAAGTTATAATGTACCTTAGGTGACATGGATTTATTTTTATATTTTATCATGCCTAAAAAATTTTATGAACCCATATGTTGTCTTTGAGACCGTTTAGAAACTGCAGCTTTAGAAAAGAATCTGGACTACGAGGCTCCTGACTTAACGTCAGAGGCCTTCTGCCTCAGTCAACACGGCCACATGAAGGCATGTCACACTGAGGTGCCACCTTCATCTGAAATCACAAGTCAACGCCTGATTAAAAAAAAAAAAAAACAGCAATGCTTCTCAGCACATCAACATTTTAAAAAGTATTTTGACATGGCTTTCACCTTTGACACAAATCTGCACCGCCCCGTACCACTCCCCGCAGCTGTCACACAGCAGGCTGAAGGCAGCGTGTCCATGCGGCATCACAAAACCTGGCAGACATGTGTACAGCAGCTCGTCTCCCATCTCAAAGCCAGAGTGCTCCTGCAGACGAGCGTTGGGGAAGGATGGAGGGTCTCCACAAGCCACGGCTAACAACAGCAACAAAAAGGAACACGTGTTAAAAAACAAAAATCATTGGTAATAATATAAAATATGGCTAAGCACAGGGCTGTATTATTAATATTGTTTGATTTTTCTTTGTTATTACTGAGGATACATAAAAATTGACACATTGTAGAAGTAATAGTTCACTATCTTTTGAAGTGTGGTTCTGTGGAAAGGTTATGAACAATAATATCTTACCTGTTACAGATAGCTGATTGGACAACCTCAGTTTGTAGAAATGGAGTTTGCCCCGTTAGAATTAAACTTTATTTCTCCAAACTGATGCAGAGGTCAGATGTTAATTGTTCAGAACATTTCTACATAATCCACTTCAAAATGAATTTTAAAGGAACCTTTTAAAGCTTTACAAAAAATTAAAACAAACAAACAACAGCAAATACAGGAACCAAGAAAATAACAATGGAATGAACTGGATGTATAAAAAAATAACGCTTTCTATGTCTTATGATTTGGTTTCTGTCAAAGTTTGCTGATGAAGCTATAGGATGCAGACACACAGGAGGACTGATGAAGGACATAAAGAATTTGAACAAAAACAACAAAAGACTGACAAGGCAGCAAAATACAAAGAACCGGTAAAGACGAGTGTTAATGGTAACAGGAAACAGGTGTGAGAAGGGCAGGACTGAGGAGCAAGAACAGACCGGGGAACGACTGAACACATCACAAGAAACAAACACAACAACAAGAGGAATACACCTTGAAACAGAAAAAAATACTTTAATAATTGTATTAAAAAACAGATTGTGGCAGTTTAACATCAGATTAGATAAAATATACTTTATTGTGCTAAAGGGAAATTGTCTAAGGCCCAAAACTGCTGCAATACATTCATGATAACAACAAACACAAGAAAACAATAAATAAATTTTAAAAAGACTAAAATTTTCCATAGATAGAACAGTTACCTAATTGTTTTTTAGTTCTTTAATAGCAGAAAGAATGAACAATTTATCATACTATTTTAATTATCAAATTCGTTCTAAATGGCAGCAAATGAAACTAAATTACAAACATGTTGCATGATTTAATCTGGTCTGATCCTCCCTACACAGATCTTCCTAAAGCATTAAGGTAAAATTTATTCCAACGCTATTTAATCTGCTTTTAGTTCATATTTTAACGGTGCTGACTCATATCACTTCCCAAAATAATTTGATAAAATCAAATCCATACCTTGATTTAGTCAAATTTTGATGCGTTTTCTGACCTTTGTCTTTGATGCAGAAGGCGTTCAGGTGTGCAGTGTCCTCTGTGCCATTTTCTGTCCTCACATTCACTGCTTTCAGCGAGCTGCCTTGAAGATTACACACAGTGCTCCTGGACACAGACAAAAATGAATGTCCCATCAATTATATTGCATCATGAGAGAGTGGGATGCGAGGGAACAAGTCAATAAGTTAGGTGAATATGAAGCAACCCCAACGTGTTTATTTCTTACATGTTACACTAAAAGGCTTGCGTATAAGGAACTATTCCATAAACAAAAAATGTCAGTGTAAGAAATGCATCTTCTGTTGTAAGTGAAGTAAGGCAGAACTATGGGGCGCCTGCACTGGTCCATAAATGTGCACATGAAACAGAACTAAGCACACAGGCATGTACAGTTCTCCACTGGTTGCTGCCTGCTTTTCTACCCTTCCAAATATTATTTCAGCGTGACATCAGGGCTGAAAAAGCCACATCGTGGCTCAGGCATGCTACAATATCAGCAGCATGTGCCACGATGATGAACGAGGAATGGATAACCCAGATTAGAAGACTTGAGTTCAATCCAATATTACATGTTTATCCAGAAGTTTAAAACATACTACCACATCCAACTCAAACTTCCTGTGTCAATCAAACCCTGTTCCCATAGCAACTCCTGGCACCAGTTAACCCTCTGAACAAAAATGTCATCACAAGTGAGATGTGTTCCATGCTTATTAATAAAAGTTTAAATATAATCCTGTGAAACGAGAAGCCGTTAATAGGAATGGCTGTTGGACCTAAAGTGTGTGAATCTGAGAGTGACTGCACTAATCAGTGTGTCAGTATTTGGAAGAATTTGACTGGCGCTGCAGTGAGACTGTGACTCATGATGCATGTCTGTGCCATGCTAACTTCAGCTTATAAGGGCAGAAGACTGAGAGAAAACAGGAAATGAACATGTTTAAATACAACAATGTTTGACTGATGGGAAAAAGAGCTTTTTTTTCCAGATTAATTTGCTTTATATTGCAGTGAAACCAAAAGCAAGATGTGCATTTGTGTAAATGTTAGTGTTCTGCGTGCAATCCGAAAAATACGGTACTGATATTACATTTATGGTTAGAAAGGTTTGTCACTGGAGTGGCAGCCTTAAAGGTACGGTTCTTGTACAACAGCAGTAGGTACTTCTTGGTACCCTTGAAGTACTTATTACAGAATAGTCTCTGATGGATTCCCAGTACAGAAAGAAGAGAAAGTACAGAAATGGACCGTTAAATGGTTCCAGCAGGAATTGTTCCAGATGTTAATTCCTTATGAAGAGGTTCTGGTTCTCCTTCATGTAGCATTAGCCTTAATAGTCCAGTTACTGCCCCAGCCAGCATGGCATTGTTTGTGTTTTTCACTCATTTTGTATCAGCATTTCCTTGAAGACCCCCAATCATCTGTTCCAAAGGTAAGCAGCCCTGAGCCAATCCAACATAGATGGTGTTTAATGAAAACATAATGAGCTTTTAAATAATTGTTGCAATTAAAAAACACATGCACATTTTTTACACAGGAAAAAGTAATCATATATTGTTGTCATTGTTGTCCACTGTTGTCATCACTCTGTTAAAATCAAGTCTCTCTTTTAAATGAGTCCCCGAGGCTCAATGGGATTAACCTGTATACTGTAAATAAAAGTTGAATGAATATAGAGTTTTGTTAAAATATACTTCTGATAAGAACCTTAAAATCAACAGTTTGACTACTTTATTCCTTCAAACACAGTCTCCTGACATCTTACGTTTAGATTATCATGCACTTTTTAATGCTTGGGGACATAAATGAATACTGTATTTTCCACCGTACACGTCGCTCCACCCTATAAGTCGCATCAGTCCATATTTGTCTAATAAAGTGGAAAAATCCATAAATACATCGCTTCGCCGTATATGTTGCATCTATTATGCGTCACTGCTGACAACCTGGAAACGTGGGGTGGTGTTGTGCCAAATAATCGATTGGCTGCCAAATGGCGGCTGAGGGAACGTGCACGAGAGGACTTTAACAAGAATTTAACGAGATTAACACTTTAAAACAATTATTTGTTTGCTCGAAATTATAGTAAAGGTGTGTCTTAGTTGAACTTTTCCTTAACAAATGCACTTTGATGGTCAAATCAGGTGCATTTCAAAAGCTGATACGCGAAACATGAATGCGCAGAGGGCGACTCGCTGTCCATTTCTTCAAAATTTAACAAGATGATCACCTAAAAACAATTATTTGATTGCTCAAAATTATAGTAAATGTGTGTCTCAGTTGAACTTTTACTTAATAAATGCACTTCAATGGTCAAATCAGCTGCATTTCGCCGGGGCGGCGCATCGAAATGAAGCTGATTTGACGGTTGCTCCAGGCAGATGACAGTGGCAGACAATGGCAAGCCATTTTTACCTATTACATGACACAATGGCATGCCATACAATTCGAGTGCCATCTAGCATGTTAGTGTTCAATATTTTCAGTCAGAATGAATGAAAACAGTCATATCTCAGCTAAAAATTGGTTTATAAATATGGGGGGAAAAAATCCATAAATATGTTGCTTCGGCATATAAGTCACAGGGCATGCAAATTATGCAAAAGACCATGACTTATACAGTGAAAATCACAGTACCTTTCAGGCCTCCATTAAAGTACATAGTGGCATCGAGGTTTAATTCTCGACCGTAGATGGTACATAAGTTCAAACTGTCCTCTGGAGGAGAAAGAATTACATGTTCCTCATTTTTGACTGCATACAGAAAAGAAAGGTCAAATTCTATATAGTGTATGAATAAAAGAAAATAAAGTAATTGCAACTTTGTAAATAAATACAACATGCCGCCTAGTTTGAATTTCTTTAATGAACAGATGCACTTTAAAAACTGTGAGAAAAGATCTGGTCAGGAGACATTTTAGTTTGCGTTGAACATGTCTCTATAGGCTCATTTTTACTTGTATTTAACTAATAAAAATCTACGAAGCTTCTGTTGAATCTTACATGCCCAAAATTTGAGCATCAAACTGTTGTTTACAATTTTGGGATACATTTTTGCATTTATGCTACTTCCAAAAGATGTTAAAATTCATACAGAGAAGGGTTTTGATCAATGAGGAGTGGGTGGAGGAGAAGAAGAACATGGTATAGGCATAAATAAGCTGAAATTCTGACGGAATATCCCCTAAAGGTTTTTATACCGCTTTATGGAAAATAAATTGTAAGATACCTTAAAACCAATATTGCATGCCCTTAAGATTGTTTTTACATTGTATGCTACAAATTCCTGAATATGAAAACCCTGTTACCGGTAAATTTGACACGCTGCTCACGATTCCTGGCACTGAGAGTCACCGAAAACAAACAGGAGTGAGGTTTGACGCTCCGGACTTATAAGAAGGGTGAAACGTGGTAAAACTTAGTGAAGGAGTGTGAAAGATGAAGTCTACGTGTAGAGAAGAGAAGCACAAAGAGTGACCCAAACTTTCAACAGTTTCTATTTTTCAAGCTAAACTTTACTTAAAAGTTTTGGAACAATTTTGAATTACTAATTTATATGTCTCATGGTATTCCAGTTAACCACCTGATGACTTTTTATATATTTATATATAAGCCTTGGGTTTGACTGTGTCGCTTCTTCACATCAGCTATTCACCCTGTTGTCCCTGATCCTGGAAACTGTGTTGATATCTTCCTGCTGTTTTCATATTTAAGGACATTTTGCTGAAATTGTGGACAAAGATGATTTCTTATTGGAGGATCGTTAATCCGCTGTAGCTCCAATGAGTAAATAACACTTGTGTTAAAAAAGCTGTGCAACACCAGAACAGAAAAACACAAATACAGAAGCACAACTCGTTATTTTTGTCTATTACGAATAGATATATTTTGGTTGTGTAAAATGCACCCTTTTTTAAGGAAGAGATGTTATTGAGGTTTTTATGTTTATGGTTATTGTTCTTAAAACGTGTTTTATGAGACTTTGTGTTTTGTTGCCAGTTTTGGCTAGGACATGTTTGTAAATGAGATTTTTAATTTCATTGAATTTCTCCTGGTAAAATAATCAAAATAAATGGGTTTTTTGGTTGTTTTGTTTCTTTAATTGAGAGCTACGGTGGCCCTGAAGTGTAAACCACAACTACAAATAAAAAAAACCACACATTCTACAGTTAAAAAAAAGACAAAAACAGTTCATTAATTTTAAATAGTGAATTGCACCTCACTACTCTGATTGTTTGCTGAGCTGTACGGAGATTGTAGTGACATAATACAAAGCTTGAGTACTGTTTTTCCCCCAAATGTTTTCTTGGGTTTGTACTAATGCTTTAGATGATACACAGAAAAAAAATCTAACATTAATTTTTTTATTTTTTTATTCTGGTTGCAGCCGATCATCACAAGCCTCACCTTAAAAGCTGATGTTCATAAAGTTTATATCAGGAGTCAATATCTTACCCGCAGCAGAAATTGGTCAAATTATCTCGATCTCACAGAGGAATCAACCCAGTGACTCCTGTCAAAGTGGTCCAGTTCCAAAGCTGATTTAACTATAATCTAAATAAATGAATAAAATCCACAGTGATGCATTCAAATGATCTTTAATGATCTTTACACTGTCAGATAATTATTTTGGAAACTAATTTTAATGTTTCCATCAGTAGCATGTTTTTTTACAAAAACGTCCAGTTAAGTGACCACAGTCAACCTGATCTTCATTTTATGTAACTTCTAAGTAAATATTGCTGCATTAATACAGGTATAAAAGTTTGTAAAATATATAAAAATGACACAATAACATTTAGAGGTAGGAGCTGATTTAAGACGTGAAACTCCATCGTGCTTGATTAGTTAGTCTATATGGTCAAAACTTCAGTTTCTCCACAGTGAGAGGACTCTGGTCACTGCCTACGACAGGTAAGATACTGACTGCTGATAATAATTCTACAAAACCCCTGGTCAGAAAAAAACTATCAATTTAACAAGATAAAATGATAGGAGTGTTTTATTGAAAGATGTCATTAGGTAACAGCTAAAAGTGCTTGCTAACCTGTTTCCAGTGTTCCCTGATTAATTCACTGCTTTTTGTTTGGACCATTCCAGGACAACACATTTTGTCACAACCTAATTTGTTCTTGTTTGCCTTTCCGTGTTCTTCCTCGCTCTGACTCCACTTATGTACGTTAATTTTTTTTTCAGTTTTTACAACCTGCTGCACGTGTTACGTTGGTCTTCTCAGGTTAAAATGATCTGCCTAAATAAATTTTGAACACCTTTTTAACATCTTTGGAGCTTGTTTCACATTTTAGCACAATTTAGTGAAGCATTTTAGAATAAGCACAACTCTTAGAAGGCACGATTTGAACACCAAATGATTACTTCACACAAATTAAATTGTAGACATGCTTATAAGAATAAAATGTCTCAACCATGTCAGTTCTTTTTAATTTCTTGGTCAAAGTTAGAATAATTAGCACTACAGCTCCTTGCATTTTTCATCCTGCTGCTCTGTATTTAAATCACACAGACCAAAATAACAAAAACTAATTTAAAGATTAGTAGATTCCCCCTCAAAGAACAGATTACACTCTGTCATTTAGCCGTCACTACCTGACTTCCTCTGGGCCTAAGTTAAGTGTGTCTGTTTGGGTTTCTGGGTGATGAAAGCAGTGTTGTCGTGGAGGTGAAGAGCATAAATGGAGGCAATTGTCGACATGACACCCCAGCTCTGAATTCCCTCATCCTCCAGGAGGAAACAGAGAAGTCTTTCTCCTCCTCCTCTCTGCTTTTCCACTCCACCTCTCCTAAAACGTGTCAGTCTTGTATCTTCCCGCACATCCACCTCCACACCGCTGCTCGCTTTACATCCTTTCTCTTTCATCCGTTCTTGGAGCCTCCATCACAGACTAAAGAAGCACGAGCACCGCGATGACCTTTGACACCTTCGGAAATCTCAAGTCTCTCTCCCATAAAAGCAAACACTTGGTTTCTTACCCCACGGTACCTCCGTGGAGCCACCCACGGACGCATTGAGAGAAGAAGCACTGGGCCACGGCGTGTCGGAGCTCCTCCACTGATGCCAGGCGGGCGTGTTGCGAGACACACCCTTGCTGAGCATCTCTGAAGCCCAGAACGCCAGAGAGGTTCCTCAGACCCAAAACAAACACTCGACCTGAGGAGAAACAGCAAAAAGTCAGAGGAAAAAAGTAAAAAACACAAAAAACTCACTAAATAAAATCTTCTTTCTCTTTATTTCCACTTTAATAATGAGACATTTGTTCACAAAAGACTACAGCTGAACATCTTGAGGAATTTAGATTTAATTTAAGTCTAAATATTTTAGGCTGATATTCTTTACTGGTCAAAATGAAGGTAGCTAATTTTTTTATTTTTTAAGACGTCCCTTCTGATCCATGGCACTTTTTCAGTTCTAACCTAAATGTATGAAATTCTAAGTCCTAAAACTGGACTGAGTTTCTCCTTTTATGCAAGCTGAACTCACGTGCAAATCACTCTCCTTCCCCAACTCCCCGAGGCTCATTTGAGTCTATGTTTTTCGGAGCAGTGCTCATTTTTGTTCGAGCTTCAGAAAAATAAAAACAAAAAAACATTTATTTAAATACATTTGCGAACTAAATTTAGCATCGCAGTAATGTCAAAACCACCTCAATGCATTAAGCAGTAAATCATAAACCATGTTTTACATGAAAAGAAACTCTCTTTGTTGCAAAAACCGGGTTTAAAATACAAACAGTTCCCTTTTTTGAGATGATGTAACATAATGTTGGTAAAGGATTATCATAGATTTTAAAATAATCAATCAGTAGAGACAAAACTCAGGAAGAATTGTGTGATTTGTCTTTTCTGATGGCTAACAAGGCATGATGACTCTTCATCGACACCTTTATTTCATATAATTTATGTTCAGAAACATTAAACCAGTATATGCACACATATCCTAAATATTTAGGATAAATCTGAAGAAAAAAATACTGAAAATGTTTGACGTTTAACTACACTGTGCACAATGCTGCACACAAACAACCCCTTCTCATCTTTAGATTTTTTCAATTTAACTGCAATAAGATATTACCCACCAAGAGGAAAATCATCAGGAATTATAAGACGGTGCCAAATAGTTTATGCACTTCCATCTGTGCACTTCGACTAAAGGGTTGCACGTCACCAACTCACTTTAAATACTTTAGTAAAAGCTCACAACTGTATTTAACACCAACCATTTATCAGTGTGCATTGAAAATGCAAACAAGTTTCTCTTTATTATTATTATCATTATTATTATTACTGCAAGAAAACTAGTGATATTTTGTTCTAATAAAACCATAGTAATTTCTAGTTGTAAAACTCATTCATGTGATGCTTGCTATCACTGTTGGTGTTTGCGCTTTGTTTGGTTTTTGAAATATTAAGCTTTAATTAGGCTTATTGAGATATAATGGGAGCTACTACTACTTCAGCTTAACATGCAGCAAAATAACTTATTTATTTTACAATTTAAAGCTAAAATAATAGATAAAGCTTTAAAGTTTAATAATGTAAATTTTAGATAACATTCTTGAGATAACGTCTAACAAGGTTGAGTCAGGTCCTCTGAACGGATCTGACTCAACCTTGTTTGATTTATTTACCTGGATTATTGAGCATGAATCAAGGAATATTTAGATAATTTGTTATGCCAGTTTAAAAATAGAAAAAACTGCATCGCCTCATTAGAAATTCTTATTTATTTACTTTTGATGGTTCAGTCATTGTAAATGTGGTAACAGGTTTGTATGTTGCTTCTCTGTCTCTGACCTCCTCAGTCATGGCTTTGCCACAGTTATTAAAAGCCAGAAGCTCAGGGTCTGGACATCCAGCAATTAGTATTCATGTAAATAAACCAAGTATTACAATGATCTGCTCGTTTAAATTAGTTTATTTTGCTGCATTGAATCATAAATGCAGTAAACAGAACCCAAAAGTGTAATTAAAATAAATTACATCTCAATATTTACTTTATTGTAATAAAAGTGTAGGTATTCCAATTGAAATTATATTAAAAACAAAAACAACACTATGCTTCCTATTTAACACAAATATAATTATGACATCTCTATGTTGCCATAGCTTTATGCGTTTCAAAACAAAATAAAAATGTTGACTATTTTCGATGTTCCCTGAATGATGGCACAGTTAATATTAGGCTCATTCAAAAGACAGTTCCACAACATAATGATAATAATAACCTTTATTTTACCACATAGATCCATTAAGAACCAGTTCTCATTTACAATGGTTGCACAAACCAGTTCTTCCTCAGACGCTTCATAAATCACAGGTGAAGCGTCCTAGTCCCGTTCACTTTGAGCCGAACCAAAAGAGGCGGAGCAGAACTCAGCTGGGTTGAAAGTGAGTGCGATGTGTGTTGAACGCCTCCTTCGTGTCATTTATTATAATGAATTAACTCACCTAATCCATCCTATTTGTGGCTAAACTAAGTAAAAAGTTGCTGTGCACCATCATCAATATTCCCCCAGTAATCAATCTGTTCTGGGCGATCACACGTTGATGTGATCAGTTTATCAGAAAGAGCGTGCAGCCTTTTGACTCAGGTTTTTACTGATTTAGTTCTTATGATTAAACATTTTTAACACCGAAACACAGATATGTGTACACCTCGGATTAAAGCAAAGACATGTGTTGCAGTTACGACTTTATTTTATTTCCCACCGCACCCATAAGTCTCTGTGCGAGCGAGCACCCCAAAGAGCTGTGTAAGATGCAAAGGATTCTGGGCAGACTGTTGATTGTAAACAGATACTATGAGTCAGAGGTTGTTCCTGGTATATAAGAGGGAAAGCACTGTTTGTTTGACCAAACAGTGTCTCAGGGTGACACCCGACCTGCCTAATACAGTGTTCTGGAAGGTAATGCTTTCGTAGGAGAGCGGCGTCTGTATACATATACACAACCTAAATACACTGTGTTGTACTGTTTGTGACTTCTTTTTACTTGCACGTTTTTGCAATCTGCTCAAGTTGTGCATTTTTGCACATTACACAGTTTATATCTCTGCTGTTATAAAAACAGAAAAACGCTGCTAACCACACATCAGAACATGTTTCCACCTCATGTACCACATACACGTGTACTAATCATCATGTATCTCTCTTGTCTCTCAATTACTTGTTTAGATTAGGTTAAATGTCTTTGTGCATTTATTATAGGTCTGTTTGTATTTAATGTACAGTTGTGTATCTACACTGTGTTGTCTTGTTTTGCAGGTTATGTTCTGTGTTGCATCGTGATCCTGGAGGAACACAGTTTCATTTCAATATGTACTTGTTCGTAGCTGACATGACAATAAAACCTCTCTGACTCTGACATGTGTAAATGACAGTAGTTGAGACTGAGATTCCTCTCTAACTAAAACATTCATCTCTTTAAAGTTTAAATCTCTTTCAAGATTTTGAACTCATCTGCAGGTCAGATTGAAGTCACTGCCGGCTGAACAGCCCTGGCATAGAGGGTGAGTTCACGCCTTTAAAACAGCCATCAAGTCCCACTTCACTTGGGTCAAAATCTCAACAGGTATGAATTATTATATAAATCTGAATAAGATAATCTTGATCTTGCAAAATAACTGCTGGATATGGGCACAAGTGACCCCCACAACCAAAAAGGAGCGGGTAAAGAAAATGGATGGATAATTCACTCAAAACACTGTTTCTCTTTAAAATAATTAGAGAAACAATATTTTTCATTGGTGTGTATTTATTTGTTTGACCATTTTAAAAACTGGTAAGCCAACATACTAAATTATATGTTTAATTTGCTTTACAATTTTTTTAATAACAGTCATGGCTTGAATGTGCAGCAAGTGAAGGAACAGGACTGCTCAGCCTCTCATACCCAACCATGACTGCATTCTGTTGAAGAGCAGGAGAAGAGGAGCACAAAGGATCAGGCAACACCTGCAAATCAAACAACCTGGGTTCAAAACCCACCTCAGCCAGGTCAAATGTTGAACAAGTTGGAGAAGTTATGTGCTTGAAGAAAAACGACATTATTAACCATATTTTGTCTTCCACCATTTTTGAACAACCCAGTTTATTTTATAACAGCCATTTAAATTTTTAATTGTTCACGACTGTCAGGAAATGATGCTATGACTCATCTAATATACTGGTTTCAAAGACGTTTAGGCCTAAATTTCAGCTGTTCTAATACTTCTGCCGAGGCATGCTCATCATGCAATAACATACATTTCAATGCACACTTGTGTTTTTGCAAAAAAAAACAACAACTATTTTTTCTCTAGTTAATGATTTTTTTTGTTTGTCTTCTGAATGAAAATTGGCACAAAATGTTCACTTACCATCTGCGTTCACAACAGAGGTCACAACAAGACAAGCCAGGCATCCAAAGAGCAACGACTGGACATTCAGCATGGTTTTTTTCTCCTCCGCTGAAGTCAAATCTGATTTTTTTTAATGGGGTAAAAAGGCTCCAAAAACTTCCAAATGACTGTGTTCACCAGCTTGTTGTTGGAGGTGACAAAGACAAGCAAACACCTGCTTTTCCTCTCTTTCTGTCAGAGATGGACTGCGCTCTGGGAAGAGAAGCTCGTCAACAAGAGAGGATGTTGGAGGGGGAGTTAAGAAAAAAAAAAAATCAGGACAGAAAACGGAGTGCTGCGGCTCTGGAGGCGCAGTTTATCACCACAAATAGTCGCAGTGACCAGCAGATGAAGCACCTGTGTGAAAACTCGCGTCCTCCTGTCAGTAAACACGTCACGGCTCAAAATATTCAGGGTGGGCAGAGGGCAGCCGCTTCAGACAGAGACAAGGATGATGATCAAGTGAGCCAGCCTCAGTCCCACTAGTGTTCACAAAAGCAAAAATGTTCAAATCAGCGAGGGAGGAGGGAGTTCAATTGGGCAAAACTGTGAGGGAAGGGGAATAAATCTACAGAAAGCAATAAAAATCACCACTGTAACTTGTTTTCCATTCAGTTTGTTTAAACAATACCAGCTTGCTGTAAAGAATGCCGTAAAAACGTCATTCAGCTGTTTATTTTCTGCACAATATATGAATTATTTAGAAGAAAATGTTGCTGGTTCATGTTGAACTATATGGCACAGTAAAAATTAATGGACGTGTTCATATAATATAATAGTTATGACTGAAGCTGAAGAGACTAACGTGGTTGAAAAAGGAAAGTGTTGATATAAAACAGAGGATTTAATGTTGGATAAAAATACCCTCTATTCATCTTATTAGCCACACTCGACAGCAGGAGATTTATAACTGGTTTTACTTGCAAGGGCAGACGTTCACAACAGGTTACACGCATGTACAAAAGTTACACGCATGGAATCCAGTCACAAGAATCTGCCACGGGCAGTGTGCGAGAATTGTTTTTATAACCTTATCAGCTCTCAGGTCACAGACAGACTGATTACCTCGGCCACACAGCTGCACATGCAGGATCAAATCAGTTCCTCATTCAGCCCTCTCTGAGAGACACAAGAACTCTCTGGTAACTCAAACACATGGTTCATGGGCAGTTAACGTTCTCAGCCATAGTGTTAACAAACATCCATAAAACCTTGACCTAAAATCCCCCGACATTCAACAAGTTTATACTTCTTCAGACTTCCTTTTAAACACAACATAGAGTTGTTCAGTGTGTATTTTCTACGTATTATTATTAATATTACATTATTGTTTGTTTTGTCTTTTTATTCATAACTTGTTTGAAATCAATAATTAAATTTTACTCTATACCAACTAAATTTACTGTCCCAATTCAAGATGGCCACCATAGTAATTGACCTTTGCAAACTGTAAAATGACTATAACTAATTCAATTTCACATACGTGACGCGGGATGATAAACTGAGATCGAACACAGGCTGCAGTGACAAGCATGTGAAATTGTTAATTCATGTCGTAATAGAGATTTGTGTAGAAACGAGCCTGTAAAGACACCGTCTATTGACCCCTCTGACTCAAATAACACAGTCTTCAAACTCCACCTTTAAATTCAAGTTTTCTTACAGGTCAGAAATAATCCTTTAATTTTTCTTCTTTAATCTTTTGCCTGCTCCCTTCTTCGGAGGTTGCCTCAATGAGTAAACTCATATGTGAAATATTCAGCAAGTGTTTCACTCCGGGTGCCCATCCTGACACAACCTGGGCTCGAACCTGCAACCTCAGGATTACACGACCACAACAAAGACCACAGAAATATTGCAGCCAGTGATGCTTTGACCATTTTCTTTTCTGTCATCTACCATAGCATCGGGAAATTCCTTTGTATGTTTGTCATCATTGCGATATTCCTCTCTGCGGCTCATTTAGCTAACACAAGTCACAAATTTACAGTATTTTTCAGACTATAAGGCACAATTAAAATCGTTAAATTTGCTCAAAAATCAACAGTGAGCCTTATAATCTGGTGCCTTACGTATTAATTCTGATTGTGCTTACTGACCTCGAACTGATTTTATGTGGTTATTGTGAATGCTTTATAATCTAGTGCACCTTATAGTCTGAAAAATACGGTAAGTTAAGACTTGTGTTAGCTGAGGTCATGTGCTGCTCTCTAACATTCAAAGATGCTCCTAGTGAAATGACTTGTTTCGTCATCAAACATCAGGATGATGATGATTATAACAATTAAGACGTGCATTTCTTTTATTTTCTTTAAGAAGAAAGAGACAGACAGCCACGGCCCATATGGAGCTTTCCTTAGACCTTTGTTTCAGTGAGTCTGCAGGAGAAGATAAAAGCCACACATACACAAGATGCACAATTGTAAGCCTAAATTTAGCCACACTAAAGCCTGTATAAAATGCTGCACACGGAGAATTAATGGTATCACAGCATGTGCGTGCTTTGAAGTAAAGGCATGAATGCTCCTGTGTTTCTCAGTTTGCACGCTGGTGTGTTAAAATGACCCAGGTGAGGATGGGGTTAGAACTGTAGAGTAACGTCTGACATCTAGTCCTGTCCCCGGTTTTTATCACCGTCATTTTCACTGAAAGAAAGCGTAAATAAATGAGAAATAACAAAAAGTATGTCTTCTCGTTGAAAACAAGACTGTTTTAATCCTTTATTAGTGTCATTAAAAATAAACAGGCACATTAAAACCTCGAATCACCTTTTTTATACTTTGCTTTAAACATTTTTTAATTATTATGTTTATGTATTTAGATTTTATTGTAAATAATTTGTATTAAAAAGTACAATTTTTGAGGTTTTTTTGCAGTAGACTGCTACTATCGAAGTGCCTAAAAATACTATTTTTCTGTTAGTGCACACAATTTATCTCTGGATTTAGGTGCATTTCACACAATAAAACAATACAACAACAGTTTGGCATAAGAGCTGGATTTTAAAAAAATGAGTCAAAAACACCACAATGGCTAAAAAATGAAAAACAAACAAACACAAAAAGTGAAAATTCCTCTAAATTGGTTATATTTCAGAGCTTTTCAACTAAACTGCTCAGGGAGCTACAGTTACTGAAAGCCAAGAGTTCAGGGGCTGGACATCCAGCAGTTATTGTGATTGAATAAGTTTGTTTTATGGTTTAAAATCTAATTTTATTTAAAAATGAACCCAATGGTGGACCGAACCGAGCTCACCCGTGGGCCTGATTTGGCCCCTGGGCCACCAGTTGAATAGCCCTGACCTATATAACATATAATAAGCTCAATATAAGATGAGGCCTGTGAAAAGTCAAAGTGTGATGAGACAAGCTAACATGAAAAAACTAACTTTATTCAACAACACAAAAAATATGCAAGTCTTTTAAAATGTCTGAATACATTTGTTTAATCAAATTATACAGCATACGTCACTAAAAGACAAAAACACTTTGTAACATGCAAAAATTCAGGTTCTTAAAGTGGTCAAGAAGTGTCTCTGTGTGTGTGTGTGTGTGTGTGTGTGTGTGTGTGTGTGTGTGTGTGTGTGTGTGTGTGTGTGTGTGTGTGTGTGTGTGTGTGTGTGTGTGTGTGTGTGTGTGTGTGTGTGTGTATGTGTGTGTGTGCGCGATAGGTTTTATCTTATTTCTGCTGTATTAACAGTGAAAGCTACGGATCAGTCTGGGAGGCATATCTAAATGTCTGCACACAATTCAGAAACGTTTCTCTACAGAGAAAAGTGTAAACGAGACTTTATGATGTCAGACATTCTCTAAGGAGTGACGCCGGGTGTTTGGATTCACACTTTGTCATTTCCTTTCTTTAACATCTTTCCTTCAGTCATTGCAGTCAGGTCGCTCTCTCAGTCACCTTTCTTTTTATTTCTCTTTATTTTTACCTCACCCATCGCTCTGACACTGCTCATGCTCTTACGGATCTCTACTTCACGGGTCTGGACGAGGAGATCAGGTGTGCCAGGATGCCGGCCTCCTGCACGGCAGTTATTTGTGGAGGGGTGGGAGCGAGACAGGAGGAGAGACAGAAATTCACACCTGATCTCCTTCGACGAGGCTGGTGAAAATTGTTCTTGTTGCAGATGTCTTGGGGGTGGAAACTTATCCAGACATCACACAGGTGTGTAATAATCTCACAGGACGTCCAGTATCCGCACATTTAAGCAAACCTGCGTGCTGTGCAAGTACACACTCACACACACATGCTCATACAAATGTACAACCACAAGTCAGCTCATCGTACGTGTGAGACCAGGGCCTTCCGATGTGAGGTTCATCCTGTTGGGATGAGGTGGCTGACTCAGAGGAAATCACTGATGGAGGCCAGAGGGATGTATGGCTCTGTTTCCATGGCAACAGCCTCCTAAAACCACAGTGAGGGCTGCGGTCCGGACTAACAGGAACAGCGTTGACAGTTCAGGATTAATGTTGCTGTCAGAGTCGGCCTTGTCGACGTTGACTCGTGCGTGTCACCAAAACCTAAAATGCCTCTTCATACAGAGCTGAGAACAATAAAACGTGTCTGTTTTTGGTTTCAGGAGCAGATGTTTACCTCAGAAACACAGGTAAGGGTGGTGTCTCGTTTTAGGGAAAGATAACTCAAGTTTTAACATCAACTTTAAAAACAGCTGCAAAACTCCTTACACAGTCTGTGGCGGCCATCTTAATACAGATTGAATCTTAAATGTTGACAAATTGTAGACGAACATCTAATGATCATTCTAAGAGTTTCAGTAAAATACGTCCAAAGATATTTTGCTAACAGACAAATAGGGTTGACTCCAACAGTTAATGCTGAAGTTTTAGGCTAAGGTCTTGTAGAAGCACATTGCGAATGGCCTGCAGATACCACCACACTCAGTTTTAGCACAGTATCTGAAACATTCACGCAGTTAGAGCCATTTTTTGTCTTTTCAAAGGTGAGTTATTGTGGCGGCCATCTTGAACTGGGTTGGCACAGTTGCACCGCAAGTTTGATTAAAACTTGTTGGTAGCTTATGAAATGTTTTGCTAACAGACAGACTTTCGCTTCTCGTGGTGGGTGATAACAGGAAAATTAAATTAGTTACAAAAAAAAAGAAGAAGAATCTTAAAGTTAAGAGCTTTTAGAATGTGATTCTGTGAAAAGGTTATAAATAGTTATTATCTTACCTGTTGTAGATAGATCCTTGAGCAACAGTTGTTGTTTTAGGACGGTAGCCATCTTCTTTGGACTTGGCTCTGCTCATACTAGCCATGAGCTCATCATTCAAGTGTTTCAAGGAGCTATCTACAACAGGTAAGATAGTGATTGTTCAGAACCTTTCCACAGAACCTCACTTCCTCTGAAAGAGTTGCATTCTCCATTGAATAATCCACAACATAAAGAAGAATCATCTTTCCGCTTGCTTCATAAACATCCTGTTGGAACATTTACAACATTTTGTCAGCCCGTACTGAAATGTTGCGTGACCTTGGCTGACTTCATGCTGCTCGAACAACGATCAGCAGAAAACATTCAGCACTGAGCTGCCATCCACAGCTGAGTCACCATGAGCCCAGTGTGGAGCTGACTTCATTCATGTGATACAGGGGATGTTAATTACAGCGTGATGGAGAGCACGCAAGAAGGTTACAGATGTGCTGCGTGATGAGGAAGTGCATATTTTGTGCATACAGTACAAAAAAAAAAAAAAAAGGCAGAATTTTATGGGGTGCCATTTGTAAAGTTACACAGTCAAAAATTATCAGCAACATTTCAGTTGATTTAGCCTTTCATAAGAAAAAATTTAGTTTTTTTCAAAGTCATATTTTCACCATGTTATTCATACATTTATAAATGTCATAGTTCCAAACTAAATATTTAACTTGCAAGTTAAATATCTAGTTAGCAAGCTAAATATTTAGCTCCACATTAAATATTTAGTTTACAAACTAAATACTTAACTTGCAAGTTAAATATTTAGTTAGCAAGCTATATATTTAGCTCCACACTAAATATTTAGTTTACAAACTAACTCTTTATGTCCAAGCTAAATGTTTAATTTACAAACTAAATATTTAACTTGCAAGTTAAATAAAATATTTAGCTAGCAAGTTAAATATTTATGTCTGACCCAAATATTTAGTTAGCAAATTAAATATTTATTTTGGAAATTAAATGTTTAGTTTGAAAAATAAATATTTAGGTCTGATCTAAATATTTAGATAGCAAATTAAATATATAGTTTAGGAATTAAATGCTTAGCTTAGAAATTAAATGTTTAGTTTGTAAATTAAATATTTAGCTTGGACAATAAATATTTAGTTTGGAAATTAAATGTTTGGTTTTGAAAATAAATATTTAGCTTGGAAATAAAATATTTAATTTACACCTAAATATTTAGTTTACTAACTAAATATCTAACTTGCAGGTTAAATATTTAGTTTGGAAATTAAACATTTAATTTGAACATAAACATTTAGTTTATAAACTAAATATTTTGCTTGTAAATTAAATATTTAGTTAGTGAATTTTAACATTTATAAATGTACGAATAACATGGTGAAAATATGACTTTGAAAAAAAAAAATTTTCTTATGAAAGGCTAAATCAACCAAAAATCTTGCTGTTAATTTATTACTGTAACTTTACAAATGGCACCCCATAGCATTTGTCCCGCGTGTGTTTTGTCTCCTTAAACATGCTGGATTTTTATTTTAATGCAGTTTGACAAAGTTAGAAAGGACAAATTCTGATCACAAAATTGACCCAAGCTGACAAAATGAGTCGGAGTAAGGGATTATTTTAATACTGAGTTATGATTATTTTCAAATCCTCCACCTCAAAAGCTTCAAAATGATGATGTTGCGATTTGACCATTTATTACCTGGCAACAAGCTTTGTTTACGAAAGTGCCCGTTTTAAAAACCAATCTTGATTTGTCTGAGGGGATGTAATTGGGAATTTTGATCCAGTATTTATAAAGAAGAATTCTTCACAGTGGTAACAAGCATTATACGAAGGGATTTCCAAAATCTACACAAGTTGGCAGAGAAAATTTGACAGTTTTGAAGGAGCTTAAAAAAAAAACTGTAAACCAAAGGATTGTTTCCAAAGAAATATATGTTAGAAAACTTTCATTTAAAGGTAGATTAGCAGGATTATGTCATTACCATGAGATTATATTACTGGGTTTGCTCGAAAGAGTCTTTATGGGCTCATTTTTATGCAAATCTCCCTTAGAGCAAAAATGGATTTTATTTTTTTACCTGCTGACTGTGTTCATTCTGACACATCTTGGCAGAATAGGTCACACGTGTGATTAAAGGCCTGTGGCTGTCTTCAGACCAACAAGTTTTTATGAACAACCTCATAAAGTACATTTTGATTTTAATTATGATAATTGTGTAAATGTTGCATCCTTTTAACAACTCTTTGTGGATGTTTTTATATAATTTTGATCATTTTTATTTGTCATTTTGACATCTACCGTATTTGTAGATGCTTTGAATCAGGTTGTTTAATTGGAGCATGTGGATGTTGGACAATTTGGTTCTTGAAAAATGTGAATGAGATCAATTGTTTGTTTGTTGTGTGTTTCAATTTTGCCAATTTATATCAAAGTGTTGAAGTGATCCAGCCTTCCTTTGTTGGGGTCACTGATCATTTGTTACTTGCTAAATTTGTGTCTTTTTTGTTAAAAATTTCACTTTAAATTTGTTTCTTGGTCCACTTTTATATGTTATGTCTTTTTTTTCAGCTGCTTCTTTCTATTTACTTCTTATGCTACATTGTTTTTAGCTATTCTGTAACTTTTAGCGTTTAGAGTCTTCTGCTGCATTTATGTTACTTGCTGATTATATTAGCATTTTGCTACTTAGCTTTTAGAAAGTCTTTTGCTATATTAGCTTCTAGCTACTCTTAGCTTTTAGATCATTTTTTGCCACTTGTAGCTTATAGCTTACACATTTTTTAGTTAATGTTTAATACTTTAAACTAGCATTTTGCTACATTCTTTTCGCTAACATTTAACTTTTTTTTTTAAAGTTTTGTAACATTTAGTGTTTAGTTAGCCTTATACTACAATTGACTATCAGCTAACGTTTAGCTTGTGTTATCTTTTAAATAAATAAAAGTAAACCATTTTGTCATTGAGTCAAACTGGTGTTTGTTGTGTGGAAAAGTTAGAAGTACAGAATGTTTTAAAATCGTTGACCTCCGTGTTAAGGTTCTTTTATGACTTCAAAATGTCAAACAAAAAGACAAGGCTGTTAAAATAAATAAGCCCCTAAAATCTTTTCTCTCTATTATTACACATTTCTGAACAGCTTCAGTGAGCCCAGCTCCCATTATTTAGAGAGATCGTTTAAAATGCCAGGTTCAAAATGTCTGCACGTCACCAGAAAGTATTCTCATCATAAGTGCAAGATTATAATAATCTTAAAAAGGTGTTTCACTCTGTAGTTTTTATCTTCCTTTTAAAACTAAACGCTTGTGTATTTGCTTGGAGGCATCATTACTGAACATGCTAACATTTTCTTTCATTTAATACATATCTTGTATGTTATGACAATGTATTCAAATTATGAACACTTTGCAGAAAATGTAATGTTATAAAGAGTACTTGATTGTAAGAAATAAAGAGACTAAAATAAAAAAAATGCATTTTATAAGACAACCTTTTTAAAATTATTTCATGGCAGAACATATTTAATGGATGGATTATTACATATTTTACATTTTGCCTCCTCGTTAAGGAGTTTCACCACATATAAACATATTACTGGCATATTTACTGTATATATATATATATATTTATATAATTTTTATTTAAAAAAATTATTTCTGCAACTACTAAAGTTGGTTCACCTGTAGTTAGGAGGGTGGAGTGGGTTAAATTTACATCAATCTCTCAGTGATGCAGCAGGCCTTTTGGTGCAGAACTTTAAATATATTGGGGGAGTGGTGGCGCAGAGGTTAGAAGATGGACCTGTGATCGGAAAGTCGCAGGTTCAACTCCCGGTACCAATGTGGGTGGAAAAAGTGAAACACCCACACCTGCCTCCACCCTCATTCACCCCACTCTGGGCCCCTGAGCAAGGCCCTTAACCCCACCATCTGCTCCCTAAACAGGTCTCTCTTGAAAATGAGTTATGAGACTACCTGTGTAAATAAAGGATAAATGAAAAAATAAATAAATAAAATAAATTAGTAGGTAAAACACTTTTGAAGAAGAACAGATAGAGTACAGGTAGAAACAGTATGATCTGTAAACACAGCCGGTTAGAGTCCAGGGCATGTGATCCTTCCTCATCTCCTCTCCATTTTCCACAAAGTTGTGCTAAGTTGTATAAGTAAACATGATTTTGCTGAAACAGCGCAGGGTGAGGAAATCTGTGTATGCGCGCCCTCTGGCGGTGGAGCTGAAGAACACAGGAGGAGATGTTTTCTCCTGGGACTGTAACTCATGTTGACCAGGTGAAAAGGGATTTGTCCTTGTTGATGCGTCACCAGCTTACAAAATGTACAAGAAGCATAGAAGTCATCCACATTTAGGATGGGCGTATAACTGCATGCATACAGGGAGTTCTGAGCTCTGCTGAAGAGATAAATGACAAGCTGATGTATCAGATATTACACCGACTGTCCAAAGTAGACAATAGATCAGTTATTTAGTCAAATTTCAGATATCCAGAATGTAGTTTATCTAACTTTCCTAACAGAGCACTGCACTCTCAGACTGCAGGTTTACTTGTGGTTCCTAGAGTTTCTAAAAGTAGAAAAGGAGGTAAAGTTAGTTATCAGGCTCTTCTCTTGTGGAACCAACTCCCAGTTTCTGTCTGTGAGGCTGACACTCTACTTTTAAGGCTAGGCTTGAAATTTTCCTTTTGATTAAACCTATAGTTGGGGTAGGTTTGGGTTTCCTGGGCTGTCCCTCTGCTATAGGCTTAGACTGCCAGAGGACAATCAGACAATATCTCCTCACGCTGTTGCTGTCTACTCTCCACTGTTCATGTTTGTAGTTGGATTTAATTCTATCACCACAATGTGTTTTTCTTTTTTCCTCTCATAGAAACTATAGGCCAGTTATTCTGTCCGTTTCCTGCTGACCCCAGCCAGTTGAGGAAGATGACCATGCTGAACCTGATTTTGCTGGTGGTTTCTTCCTGTTAAAAGACAGCTGTCCCTTTCCACTGTCACCAATGTGCTGTGTACCAACTGAATTTAAATGAGTGGGGGAATAAATGTTCTGTGGTACAATGATAACATCAAAAACACCCACTTACTTTGTAGATCACTTTCTGCTAGTTAGTCTGTAACACACTTCATTACTCCTTCTATCCAACCACACAGAGTGAGTTCTTTCTGAAAAGCAACAGAAAATTTTACATTTTTAAAGCACATTTTAAGGTGGAAAACATGAACTATAGATTTGTATAGTATTTATATCATTCATTCAACCTTTATTTAGACAGGTAAATCCCATTGAGCCTCGAGGACTCATTTACAAGAGAGACCTGATATCAAGCTTTATGAGTTGTGTAACATTTACTTCAGTCTTCTAACAGGTTTGTGGCTTCGGTTGTTTTTCTTTTTGGTTAAATAAATAAATAAATAAATAAATAAATAAAAGAACAAAAACGGTTATATACACTGTATATAGATTGAGGGCTCGAGCTTTATAATTATATGTAACAACGGTTTGCTGTACAAGAGCAGACTCCACCGTTTCCTTGATTTAAACCAAAGCCAAACGCTGGTTCGTGTCACGTCTCGGTTCGGTTCTCTGGTCGTTACCACTTCGGTGTGTGCGGTCGACCGAGCCGCTTTAGCGCAGCTGTCCAAAATCTCCGGAAGACCTCACAATCAAAACAAATCGACCACGCGTGCTTTTCCCGCAGCAATGACGTCACGTCGCCCCTCCCCCTGCAAGTAAACAGAAAACAGCGAGGAAGGCGCTCGTGCCAGCCGACAGAACGGGAACTGTGGCACGAGACGTGAAAAAACGGACGTGAACCCCGCTTTTCTCCTGCGTTTGTCGGGGTGGGGGGTCCGCTCGGGAGTTTTTTTTTTTTTTTCAGAGGAGCAGAGCTCAGGAGCGATGAAGGGAGAGGCGGAAGTGAAGTCACTTGACAGACCGTCCATGTTATTATTGTTATTTTGGTTAGCCGTGTGATGAGAGACGGGCTGGGGGAGTCGTTGGTCTGCGACACAGCGAGCGTTCACCGCAGGCCGCTCCGGACCGACACCACCGCCCTCAAACACCCGGAGACAGGAGCCTCGCTGGCGGCTGAGAGAGAGGAGGAGGAGGAGGTGGAGGAGGAGGAGGAGGGTGTGAAGACCCGAAGCTTCAGCTCGGCTCCTACACTCCAAAAATAAAAGAGCATTAACTGTAGCAGGTCCGGGCTGCCGCAGACATGAACGGTATCAGCAAGAGCCGGTTCGAGGTATGACACTGGGAGTGGACCAGTTACTGTGTTCGTCTCTGTGGAGTCTTGTGTGTGTTTTGTTGGTCAGTGGTAATCCTGTTGTTGTCCTGACGCTCCACCAACAGACAGCGACAAACATGGAGCTGAGGACTGCGGGACACAGAGGCAGGAGGAGGGCTGTGGCCCCCCCGGGGTGGGGGTGTCAATATATCAGGGCCGAGGCTGGCTGCCACTGTCCCCCCCTGAGGTTGCAGGCTTTATAATACTACCATAAAAACCTGTGACACCACCTGAAAGTGACAGGTGCCACACAGGTTGGAGAATCCTCTCTGCCGAAGAAGCATCAATAACAATCACGTTGATCCCAAAACGTTTAGGGCAGTGGCATGTTGATGTTTCTCTGCTCCAACACACATGACTTGAATCAATAGCAGGCTTCTGCAGAACTTGAAGAAGTAATTTAATCACTTAATCAGGTGTGTTGGAGCAAAGACACAAGTCATGCAGGATATGCATGCAGGTATGTCAGGGATATAACTTTACACCCAGAGGTTTAACACATTTCTGAGGAAAACTTGTTGAAACCTTATTAGCTGTATTTAAAAATTGTCTGTAAAAGCTACTCACTGCGAACTTTAAAAATCAAAAGTTTTTTCTGAACAGTATCAGGTTGGAGCAGACCTCCAATGCAAGAGTTGGGGGTTCAGTTCTATCAGCAGTCACTGCTGAAGTGTCCCTGGGCAAGATACTGAACCCCTCGTTGCCTCTGTGTGTCCCATCAGTGTATGAATGTGATAAAGCTCTGATTATTCTTTGTAGAGATCTAGTAGAGTGCTGTATGAATGAGAGCACAGATTGTGTTGTAAAGTGCTTTGAGTGTCTTGATAAGATAAGTACAGTCCATTTACCATTCAGTTTGAAAGAGTTTACTCCAGTAGTTTTCCAGATATGTTGATATGGAGTTTTGAAATGCAGGTCTGCGGTCGGTGTAAACAAAACACCAGGCTGAATCTGCTGAAAACCCTGTGGCAGCTCGAGTCACATGAAGCTAGCTTTAGTGTGTGTCGGTGAACAAATATGGTGGAATCAGACGAGGGTAGAGTCCAAGACGTGTAACGGTCTTCTGCTAAACACAAAAGAAAAGATGTCAAAAGTAAACATCACGGTTCAAGCAAGGCAGTGGAGCGCCATAAAGACGGAGCTCGCCATTCAGCCTTTGTGAAACTTCTAAGAGACCACTAAGTTTATCGTTTCAACTTTTTAACTGATTTTTAAAAAATGCACAAATATGTAGCAACGCATCAAAATTGTACTTCTCGATCTCAAATGGCTCGTCCATGGACGCTGCCATCGTTGATCTATTCAAATGCAGACAACATGGCTCCTACTTATGACGTGTATGTACATGGATGACTTTGAAATGTTGCGTAGTTATGTCTTTAAAGGTGCTGGTTGCAAAGTTTTGAAGCCCTATTAATAATAAAAAAAACATAATTAAATCAAATATTCACATTGATGGCTAAATTGACCTTAGATTTAAAAACCTGTAAGCTAAATTTGCAATATAGATTACCTAAAGAAACAGCTGAAGTGTCTGAAAATAGGTCAACAATGGTGGCCTCCATTAAAGAACTATTTGAGATTGAGAAATCCAATAAATGTCATGTATTGATATGTATTTCTGCTTATGAGTAAAATATGCAAATAGGTAGAATAAAGAAATCAACTTGAAAATTAATCTTTTCACCCATTTTTTGGAAAAATATAGCTAATGTATAAAACATGATCAACTACCACCAGCCTAATATAGGTCAATCACGTGACTCAAGCTTGCATGTAGTTTGTGGCAGATTTAGTTGTGCTTTGTTTACATTGAATGCATACCCTCATTTCAGAACTGCATATCAACATATCTGGAAAACTACTGGAGTAAACTCTCCAGCTGCACCAAAGTTCTGGATAACCCTTTTTTTTTATATATTGGTTGCAACGAGCACCTTTTAATCCTCTTTTCTGAGAGGAACCCCCCTGAAGTGTTGCCGCAACTATCAGACAAAAGTGTAAATAGTGCAGCGTCACAGATAACATCAGCTGATACGGTTCTGGAACACATTTAGCTTTTGTTGGTTCGACGTCTGCCATGGGCTCTTATGAAACTTTAACGGAGAAAAATGCACTTTTTAAATAATTTAAAATCCTCAACTGAATTTCAAGAATATAAATGAATAAATGAGATGCAGTGTCTCAAGGCAGAACCTGATCAAGTTCTGTGTAGTTTCAATGAATTTGCAAGATTGATCAGTATTGATCTCGACTGTTTGCTTAGTTTTGTTTACAGCCTCGGCACTGTCCGCTGAATAAACGGCTGTAGTGTCTCAGACTCTTACCAACAACTATGTGAGAACGAACTCTGGTAAGTTCAGAAACAATGTTCCTTTTAGTTTCAACACAGCACTGACTTCGGATGTTTTACTTCCCAAATCTTGGTGTTGCATCAGCTCAGAAATTCAAAACTTGGACTATCTGTGTACCAACTATCTTTTAGCTCAAATCTATTTTAAACTGGTGCTTTTATCCCACAACCAAACTTTCAGTTTAACACCTGTGGCCTAATAAACATGGCCTCTGTCAACGTTTCCCTCCATATTTGCGTCCAGGCCTTATGCCACCTCGTCCAAACGGCAGCGTGTTTATCTGCCATGTTACTCACACATTGCTGAGATTCTTTAGGGTTTGACTTGATGGTACTTGACTTCCTCAGTCGGGTGCGCACATGCTCGGTGTAAGTGAATCAGAACCGAAGGTGCTGGTGCATTTTACTGCCAGCAGACCTCTCAACTCACCCACTTAGACGAGAACCGCTGGTTGGTGGAATAGTTGGCAAAACAAGCCAGTGTGGTTCTTAGAGTGAGACCGGTGAGGAGTCGTCAGGTGTTTGGGTTAGATTTCTTAAAGGTTGAGATATTCTTTGTATTTGACATACGAAATGATCCGTTTGAATGTGTCATGTGGTCTTGATCTGATTTGATCTGATTTGTCTGTAGTTTTGATTTGGTAAATAAACTCCAGAAAGTTCATGCACTGAACATCAACTCAGCTGCTCGCTCTGGGAACAGGAATATGACTGCAGAGAGGAGCTCCCTGCTTGGGAATGCTGCTCTACTGCCACCTTTAATCAGGTTATTGTGCACCGGGGTTGGTTCTAAATGGCAAATCTTTAACCAGTTGATTGTTTTTCCTTTTTTGTATTTTGCCATTGAAACATTGTTCACTGCTTAGCTCTAGATTCAGGCAGATCTACTTCAGAACTTTTTATTGGAGTTTTTCCATTATTATTATTATTATTATTATTATTATTATTATTATTAGGTTTATTCTTATACTACATGTTGATCAGCTGGTTCATTCTTGTCCTTGTTGTTCTTTTTGTTCTTCTTGTTTTCTTGTTCTTCTTGCTGTTCTTCTTGTTCTTGTTGTTCTTGCTCTTCTTGTTCTTCTTTTCTTGTTGTTGTTGTCCTTTTTGTTCTTGCTCTTGTTCTTCTTGTTCTTGTTCTTATTCTTATTATTATGCCATTTTTCTGTTTTCATTTAGGGATATTAACGTTGAGCACTAGAAAACCATTCAGTGCTGGTCCATAACCGTTGTTCTTGTTGTTCTGTTGTGCCACACAACAACAGTCTCACAACAGCCTATCGCCATGTGTGTCTGTAGGGATGATGGTATTAAGTTAACTCTCAGAGCCTGGTTTCCTTCAGTCTCTCTAGAGTTTCATCATTGTTTAATCTGACAACAGGAGTTTGCTTCATAGTTGTTTGACAGTTCAGGAGCCTTTTGGCAAATTCTCAGCAGGTTGTCGAGCACCATGCATCAACTTGTGGCTTCTGAGTTGACACTGTAACATAAATGCCTGATGTGTGGTTCTTGTGTTGCATTATTCTCCAATTTCCACTTCCTGGATCTCATTTATATTAATCACCGTCGTCTTGGTTTCCCAAGTGACCAAGACGCTTCATTCTTGTGAGCCAGAGCTTAAAATCTTTTGATGGCTTTCCAACTCTTCTTGTGCTTGAAGGCTCTTTCAGTGCCTCAGATATTTCATATATACTTTCTCACTGGTCTATGAATAACTTTCTCAACCCCGTGGTCTTGGTTTTCATGGTGAAACTCACCATCAACCTTTATTTACAGTATACAGCTGTGTTCCTTCATGACTCTGTTAGGTGGACTTTAGTTAGGATGTTAAAACAAAAGTAAAAATCAGATGCAAAAAATGGCTCAGTTGCTAATTTTACACCAAATAATATTGGTGCATAATGTCCATTTAACTATTTATTTGTAGCTGAACCATCAACATATGCTCCAGAAATGGGTTTTGCTTTTGTCATAGTAAAATATTGTTTGTAGCCTGAAACAATATAGGAGTTTAAAAGGCTCTGAAAACGTAACAGTGGGAAACTATAATGCAATAACACACGAAAATAAATACAATACACACTTGACACAAGTAAAATTTTATGGAGGGGGACCATTAATAATAAAAAACAAACAAAAAAAAAAAACTTTATAGATATTCAAAACCAAAAAAAGTCCATGCTTCTTTAAAACTGACTGGAAATCTCCTTTTTTTTTTTTTTGACCCCACTTAAGCACAAATTGCTTTTACGTCCTCCCTCATGTTCCTCCTTTTTGATTTTATTAATTACTTTAGTAATTGTTTTTAGTTCTATCTCACTGTAGTGCATTTCCTTTGTTTGACTTATGTCTCTTGCTTCCTTTTTGATCCCATTTTCCTTCAAGGCTTTCTATTTTAAGGAGGTTGCATCTTCCTTTCAGGATCAACCCACACTCATGCTTCCTGGCTCCCCGCTTCCGTTTTTCTTCTTAGATTTTCTGTTTGCATGTGACACACCAGGGAGTTCTCTCATTAGAAACACTTGCTGAGTCTTTGGGGATGCGAGCGGTATATCACTGGCAGGGGGTGTGTGTCTGCAGCAGTATAGAGGTTGCGGGTGTTTTACCGTCATCTAAATTCACGGCTGAATGCAGCCCACCTGATCAAGAACGTTCCTCCACTGTTCCTCACTCGGAGAGCTCGGACTTGAATCACCTACGAGGGTGTAAAGTGTGTGCGCCACTCAGCAGATGGCCAGACATCCAGAGAGGAGGTTAATTGAGATAAGCATGCCAACAAGCTGACCAGGCTGACAGATTTCTAAGCTTGCAAGAGGCGGACAGGGCGTGTTTATTAGCGCAGCCTAAAGAAGTGATAGCTCATTTCTCAGCTGTTGACATAAACATGAAGCAAGAGTCTGTTTCTGTTCTTGTTTGCAGAAGAAAAATAAAAAAGGTCCTCAGGCTTTTTGACTGAATGAGCTTGATGTGCTGAAAACCGCTTTTGATTTTCATCGCATAAAACACACAGTGCGCTTATTGTTGTTGTTTATCTCGTGTCTCGACAGGTGTTCTCAAACAGCGATGAGGCCCCCATCAACAAGAAGCTCCCCAAAGAGCTCCTTCTCCGGTAAAGTTGATAACACAATCGCTCACACACATTATGGCAACACAAATGCCTTCAGAGGAGATCATAGGGTTACTCATGAACTGAATCAACCTTGAACTGTATTAATGTTTAATTTGTCACCACTATGTGTTTTTGTGTGTTTTGCGTAATGTACACCACCCCTGGCCTGAAATGTGGTTTTTGTTAGTTGCGTGACCTACAGATCAGTATTTCGTTCCACAGCAGCTGCACACACACACACACGTCATAAATCTGACATTTTTCACGTTTATGGGTATGTGTTTGCTTGTGGCCTGGAGAGAGACCCACCTGCAGGAGCCTCTGCTGAGACTTGAGTTCATTTTTGTGCTTGACTGATGCTAGATGTTGTGTGTGAGAAACACTCCAGGGTCTACGTCTGTGTGTGTGCTATAAATAGTTTCTCTGAGCTGGTGGGGAATTCTGCAGTGCTGTGCTCCACTGCTGTTCCGGCTGCAGCACCAGTACACCCATTACGACCATCACTTTTCCACTGGTGCACTGAATGCTTACAGCACATGACCTAAAGTCTCGTGCCATATTGGGATGGTTGCACAATATCAGCTGCGAGGAAGACTTTATATGATGAGAGTAAATCTTGTTTACTCTGGGTTTGCTGGAGCTCGTTTTTAGACTGAGTTTGTTTTGCTCTCACTGCAATACATAGTCGGAGGCATTATGTTGTCCCTGTGGTATTTACTGTATACAGCAACATGCACATTTAGGGCAGAACTGTGTTTACTAGAAAGTGCAAAGTAGTTTCAAACCTCTCAAATGAGCCTAAAAGTCAAGACTGAACATTTTGTTTTATAATTTAAGCAAGAGTAATGTGCCATTTTATGCCATGTGGAGTTTTAGATTGGGGAATAAAATGGTAAGGAGCAGAACCCTGATGGTTTTAGTTTGCAGGTAAAGTTAACAAAATTACTACACGGTGCTGGCCACAAAATCTGAATATCATGAAAAAGTTTATTTATTTCAGTAATCCCATTCAAAAAGTGAAACTTGTACTAGGGATGCACCGATCCACGTTTTTTTAACTTCCGATCGGATCCCGATACCTAAAGCTGGATATCGGCCGATCCCGTTCCGATATCATGATCATCATTGATTTTATATGAGGCTGTAATAATCTCCTCTCAAGTACAATTTGTATAAATATATGCATGCATGTCCAAAAAGGCAACTTGAGGTAAGTTTTATTAATGTTGGATAAGTTTCAAAGTTAGAATTAAATTCTGCTAACACAAAACATGTTTTTTTAATTCCTAGCTTTAAAGCGGATATTAAAGTGATTTAATTTAAGTGATTGTTTGTTTAAAGTCATTTTATTAATTTTTTTTATATAAGGGAGAGACATAAGAATTTTTTTTTCTTCTTTCTGCACTCTTTTCATTCAATGTTTTTGTTTTTGATGAATTTGTTTTGTTTATTTTGTCTCTTAATAAATTAATAAAATAAAATAAACAATTAAATGGCTTTAAACATCCAACATTTTTCAGTCAGGTCATCTGGACAGTTTCTTTTTTTTTTGTGCTGAAAAGTTTCGCCTTCGATCCAGAAGGCTTCATCAGTCAAGGAAACGCACAACACAAAACTGATTCTTCCCCCAACAGCTTACTCCAAAGTGGAACAAACCAGTTATGTTGGTGCTAAGATGGTCTCTTTGGTACGCCCCCTCCTCTATTGCCGGCCCTCTTCCTTGTTGACAGTCGTATCAAACTGGTTGAAAACAACAAAGTCCTGACTGAAACATGTTGGATTGTATATCTGGATTATTGAGCATGGACTTTGTGACTTTAAACATCTGCTAAGTTTGTGACATAAACCAACACTGATATGTTGTTTAGTATTTTACATTGCTTTATAATGTAGCTATTTTTGTTTCTTTTTTTAAATATAATTTTCTTGTAATTTTCAATTCATGTTTTTTTTTATTTTTATGATTGTCTACTGTTGTACTGATAAATATCTCCTGCAGAATAAACTATATCTTGGCTGCAAGTATCAAGCTGTGAAATCCTTCATTTTCTACAACTGATAGGAGTTGGTCATTAATGATGATGAAGTTTAGCAACTTCTCGGTAAATATTCTCGCTTCGTTCCTTCAGCGATGTTTTCTTCTTGTTCATTCCGAAGCAGGCAGCCTGATTTCAGTCGGCCACGCTCAGTCTGTCCCTCCTCAGAGACGGGCAGACTGAGCGGGGCAGATTGGACGCGGCTGGCCGGGGTCGAGTCGCCTGTTTTGGGTTCAGTGAGAGGAGCAGACCGCTGAAGCCACGGAGCTCGAAGGTCCGACGTAAAACTAACTTTACCACGGTTTAATGTGGTGCAGACATTGCATGTTGCTGTCTTGCTTTGTGGTGTTTCTAGTGTAAAATACTTCCACACAGTGGACATGTTTTAATGAAAAGTTTGTTAGCAGTTAGCTACAGTGCTACTCGCTCAGTCCTCACATTGTAGCTGGCTGCAAACTATGAAATGGATTTCCTGAATGTGAGGCGGGTCTTATTACGTTGGGCTCATGAAACACGCCTTCGTTCAGGAAATCCATTCCATAGTTTGAAGCCAACGTGCATCATGGATCGGAAAAATCCGATACGTAAATTATGCTGGTATTGGAGGCCAATACCGGATCGGATCGGCCCAATCCCTAATTTGTACATTATATTCATTCATCGGATTGGCCCCATCCCTAATTTGTACATTATATTCATTCATTACACACAGACTGATATATTTCAAATGTTTATTTCTTTTAATGGTGATGATTATAACTGACAACTAATGAAAACCATAAATTCAGTATCTCAGAAAATTAGAATATTACTTAAGACCAATTTAAAAAAAAGGATTTCCCCCAGAGAATTTTGAATAAAGTAGATGCCATTTCCTGCATTTTGGTGTATTTTACAAAGGTTTATTACAGTAGATTAACATGAAACAAAACATGTAAACTCTGGATTATTGAAATTTCTGACTGCAAAGCGTTCTTAATGCAACACTACTGCAGCTCTACAGGTAAGGGGCGTTCACTTCAGGAGAAATTGAGGTCGCTGACTGGTCAGTCACTGACTGGTCAGTCGCTGACTGGTCAGTCGCTGACTGGTCAGTTGCTGAGTGGTCAGTTGCTGAGTGGTCAGTTGCTGACGTGCCTACTGGACTGACTGACATGTGGCGGGACTTGTGTGAAAAAAAAAAAGATTTTACTGGCCCGTTTGAGACTGTTGTCATTTATTCCATATTTATTCAACATTTATTCAATATTTTGGTGAATCGAAGGTTTGAGAACTGTTTCCTTACAAAATCCTAATGATGGCTTTTTAATTTTTCAGAGATGCTGAGTTAAAATTTAGGGGTGCTCAAGAAGGGTATGTGATGGGCACCTACATGATGCTCAGCTTTGTCAAAGGAAATGTTATTCAGCAGCAAGAAACTGCCGATAGACCGTATGAAGTCTGTCAAAATAAAATATAAATTATTAAAATTTTTAAAATGAATGCACACATTAGTCACTCCAGCTGTGTAGTGTCTTTACAGTAGTCATTGGGCCAACTTTACATCTAACATTAAACTTGGAATGACTGTTAACACATTGATTCTTCAAAGGAAATTTAAATATAGTAACGAGGACAGCTTGGCAGGCCAACTTTGGCCCGTGGGCCCCACTTTGGGCACCCCCGATTTAAAGACCTTTGCAGGTGTTTTGAGTTAATTAGCTGATTAGAGTGCGACACCAGGTGTCTTCAATATTGAACCTTTTCACAATATTCTAATTTTCTGAGATACTGAATTTGGGGTTTTCATTAGTTGTCAGTTATAATCATCAACATTAAAGAAATAAACATTTGAAATATATCACTGTGTGTAATGAATGAATATAATATACAAGTTTCACTTTTCGTATGGAATTACTGAAATAAATCAACTTTTTCACGATATTCTAATTTTATGACCAGCACCTGTATTATTTGTGTAGCTCGGTGATATGTGGTTGCCTCAGGAGGGCATCCGGCGTCAAAACAATTGCCAAGTCTTCGTGCGAGTTCGTTGGTGTGGCGACCCTCCGAAGAAAGGAGAAGCCGAAAGGAAAATGAAAACGTGTTACATCTAGCTGGTTTACTGCCATTATTATAAAATAATGTTGAAACGATGATGGCATCACAAGGTGATTTAAAAAAAAAAATTCAAACCTCAACTCCTTGATTGCTATCCCTGCAGTCAGAAGGCTCTGGTTGCTCTCCTTGCATTGAGCAGTGTAAACTAACCCGCAGAACAAAAGAAGGCTATTAGAAATGTTTTGAGGTCACCGTTTACTTTATTGCTTGCAGTTTGATGGTGATGTAGTGGCTGTTTGAGTGAGTGCTCATTTGTTAGCAAAACATTTCCTAAACTACTGGATGGGTTTTAAAGTCCAGCTCCCACCATGTATTCATTTTGCACGCCTCTGAAAAAAAGCTCCATCACGTCGAGTTCCAGTTCATGTAAGACCAGCATATTTTTCTATTGCGCAAGGTGACTATAGGTTGTTTACTTCGAATTTCTGGCAAAATATTTGAGACGGGAACAACATGCTGACTCGGTGGGTTGCACTGTTCTGTGAGAGTATAAGGAGGGTGTTACCACCCGTTCTTTCTCGAATTTGAAGGAATTTTGTGAGAAATGGGTCAAGTTTGTCCGAATCAAACGGGCAGACTTCTGTGGAACCAACGCAGAACAGTGTTCTGTCTTCCAAACACTTACTACCCATTTGTTGTATTGTGTGAGAGTACTACGGATTTATATATTTCTGAAGGTCGGTATACAGGTAAACATCTGAAGGGGTTGACATGTATGAAACAGCCTGCATTCTGTATTTCTGGTAAGTATGTCTGTTCGATGCTGCTGCAAAGCTGGAAAATTCAACCTAGTGTGTTCGTCAAAGCCCTCATCCATATCTAAATTCTCCCCAACACTGCAAGCATTAAGCTGACTGGTATTTT